AGATACGTGCAACAAACAGACGAATTGCAATACAACATGGAAAGTGAAAGCAGGCAGATTCAAAGTGCTCCATACTATGTGATTCCATCTACATGGCATTATGATTATAAGGACAGAGGATTGATGAATGGCTGCCAGAGACTTGGGGTAAGAGAAGGGGCTTATGCAGAGAAACGCAAAGAAACCATGAGGACAATGGTAATATATATATATCTTACTTGTGGTAGAGGTTACAGGCCTATATATACGTAATTGTCAAAATCATGGAACTCTATAATAAAAATTAATTTTACCATATATAAAGCATACCATATTTTAAATATTTAGCCAAGTATGGTAGTACATGCCTGTAATCTTAGGATTTTAAAAAGTTGAGGAAGGAGGATCACAAGTTCAAGTCCAGCCTAGGCAATTTAAGACTTAATGAGACCCTGTCTCAAAAAAAGTAAAAAAGAGGTGGGATGTAGTTTCGTGCAAAGGCTTGAGTTCAATCTCCAGTACCACAAAAACAACAGTAATAATAATGACAATAATGTTAAATGCTCAAAAATGAAAAGAAATAATTTTTCCAATCAGATTTTATTGGCATATTTTAGGTATATATAATGATCACAATTCATCATAGAGAATTTGTACCTGTACATGACACTTCTTTTTTTCCCATTTTCCTACTCTCCCTTCAACTCCTCTTTGCCTCCCCATTTACAAAAGGTTTGTTTTCATTTTTTCCTTCTTTTCTCAAAATATAAATAATTTTATCAAAAGACCCATCCAACTCCTTACCTTCAGTGGAGTTGTGCTTACTCTAAATACAGTGACACTCTTACCTATTTTTAAATATTCTAAAGAAAAGATTCTAAAAGTTTGAGTGCCAGTATAGAGCTACTCACAGGACTTTAAGAACAGGAAAGAACAATTTCGCTAGGGAACAAACGAAAATTGCTTGTATCTGTACTTTCCAAAAAACCTAATGTCTAAAACTGGCTTTGAGGTCTACTATGGGATGGAAAGTGATTGATATTAATATGCACACAGCAGTGAGCCAGGTGCCTGACAGTTTGATGCATCCTATTAATCAATTTGAAGAGGTAAGTTACTAGGAAGAATCAGGGTGGATAAATATTCTAGATGCACAATAACTAAGGAGCCATTAAGATTTTCTGAATGCTATACTGTCATGGATCCTGACACTAAATAGAATAAATCAATACTTAGGGTAAAGTAAAAGTTACTTCACAGAATATGAGAGGCGTAAGTAATGAAGTTGGAATCAAAGCAAAAGGAATAGAAATTTTATTTTACCACATAAGTTAGCACATATAACAAACTATTTTACATTGAATTAAACATGTCATCTTAGTTTTCTTCTGTCTCATCTGAGACTATAAGAAGACAGAAGAATGGGGGCTGGGGATTTAGCTCAGCGGCATAAGCACTGCCTTGCAAGCAGGCGGTCGTGAGTTCGATCCCCGGTACCAATAAAAAGTTAAAAAAAAAAAAAAAAAAGACAGAAGAATATAAATTGCTCTGCCTAACCTGCCCTCCTCACCTATCTCTACCTATCTTCCAGAGATACATATAATTTTAACCTGAGGGTGCAGGTTCAAACTTAGGTAGCTCTACAATTACGATGGTATTACACATTGAATTCCAGTCTGAGGTGACCCTGAGCAACCAAACTTGGATCCTGAAACCATTACAAGGCCAACTGTACTAAGCCAAGTACACAGTTACTCTGATCTCCCTGGTATCCCTCTAAACAGAGATGATCGGCCTGGACTGCAGAAGAGGTGGATCTGACATTAGCACCCTCACCACAGCTAACTCAGCAATACGTGCCAAATAATAATACGGTGTAAGAATATGTGGTTATTCATTTTAATATATTCTCTAAAATCATGCCTCTTAACCCAATAATTTGGTAGATAATTTCAATAAAGCCTGTATATGGGCCTATCACCCAAGACCATAATGCTAAAGATACCGAAATAGGAATAACAAGCAATCTTTACTGAATAAAGAAATGTTAAAAGGCCACATCAAATTATTAACATACACACTCCTTCCTTATAATGTATACATACAAATAAAGTGGAAATTTTTTGTGAGCAAACACATGTTTTCCAGGGTTTTACAATCAGATTAATCCCTTTTTTCATTGAGAAAGAACTCTAGGTCACCAAATACATATATACCAATCTTAATTTATTCACCAAAATGTATTTAGTCTACCTCAGGCTCTCAGGAGAACTGGTCTAACTTTGCAGAGAGTTCTTATCCCAGTCTCTTTCAAGTATTATTAATAGGCCTCCTGGAGCTTGTTATCTGTCACTTAAGCACCTCATAGTCTCAGCAGAAGCTGCCAAGAAAGAAAAGTCTCTAAGTCAGATGTACCATTAAGCACAAGGATCTACAGTGCAAATTGACTACTGTGACTTTGTGGGCCAAGGAGAAAATTGTCCCCCAATATCACATGGGTGTTTCTTTCACTATATCAACATGATAATCCACAGTTGGTCAAGTGGCCATAAAAACAAAGGAGAGAAAGCCAGCAATCCTTCAAATAATGCATATCATGCTTATATAACAGATGAATATTTTACCTAAATAATTCAGATATTTATACTATTCACTTTCCATCTCATAGAAGGCGAAATCAGTAACACAGGCAACTCAGTTATCGGCAGTACTAGGCTCACATTTTGAAAATAATCTTTACCTACTTAAAGTTCTTCAGGTCATAGAAAAACACATTGTAACTCTTTGTAAACTGACTTGTAGAAGAATTCTTAAGCCAATAAAAGCCCTTTTTCTTGATTCAAAGAGAGTGCTTCTCAACAGAAGGTTGTTTTGACCTCCAATCTTTGAGCAACTTAATCTTTGGCTAAATTTGTCTAGCACTGAGTATACCTATTCAACTCACTGCTACCTGTGTTACTGTGAAGGAGTGACTCCATCGTATTTGTAGATTGTTTTAAAAAAAATCCACATCTGTCAGCCCCTTCCTTTCATTCTATTTCAAGAGAATATTAAATGTGAAAAGTGTACATCACAATTGGGGACAGTAATGAAGAAGGAAGAAAGGTGCCAAGACGGTCATCTCAGGAGAAGTGCTCAGAAAATCAGTTGCCTTAAAAGAGAGGAAGACCTATCATGAGTGAGCTCAAAGGACATTTTTCCATCTTTAAAACATATATAGGATAAAGCAGACCTAACTAGCAGAATCACTGTAAAAGAAACAAGGCCACTGAGTGACACGAAAGAAAACAGTGCTTTCACACAATAGTAATTCTGGGATAAAGCTACACGGACTAAAAAACTGGATTATATTTCTCTACCTTCTATGAACCCATAAAATGATTTCCAGAATTGAAATCTCAATCTCCATTCTATCCTTTTGAACAATAAAAATACTTTTGAACAATAAAAATTTGATTGGCAAAGCATACAAAAATTTAAATTTTAATTAAAATTTAACATGCCAGGCCCAGTGGTACATGCCTGTACTCTGCAGGCTGAGACAAGAGGATATCAAATTTGAGGACAAATTTGCTGAGGACAGTCAGCAAAACCTGGCAAGATCCTGTCTCAAAAAAATTTTTTAGTGAAATAAATTTTAAAACTTAAAAAAGAGGCATTAGTGGCACTGGGATAGTGGCACTCAGCACTATAAAAGAATTATTTTTAATTTAATGTGGTTCTCTTGGACTCTGTCTTATTTCATAGCCAGTTCCCTATTCAATGGGACATAGCATGCTTCATGTAAATCTGAAAAAAAAAAACATACTTTCCAGGCAACTTCTCTCTTAACTTTGCACATGTAACAATTTTTCTAAGCTTCAGTGTCCTCAATTGTAAAGTGGGAATAAAAACATAACCTGCCACATCTATTTCAGATGATTAGTACTGAGACATAAGGTAGTAAACATAAAATTATTTATGACAGCACTAAACAAATATTGGTTGCTACTTTCCGTGAGGCATTGTCTGAGAAGGAAAAACCGGACAAAAAGAAAAGTTCTTTCACCTAAACAAGAAGAGATGCAAATATGGTAAGCATTTTTAGCTACTGGCTAAATATATTTTAGAAGCGACTTTACACAAAGTTGAATTATTATTTATAAGTAGATTCTCATATGAACACATTCAGTTTGCATGAACATCAAAAGAAAAACAATTGATGGAGTTCAGTGGGGAGAAAAGGATGGAGGTAGTTATGACAGTTGATACAGAGACTATAGTTGCATAAGTGAAAGAAATAAAGGTGATATTTTCAAACACAATTACTGAATCATCCACAATCCACATACTAGGCTATACATATTGTGGTTTCTATAAGGGGGAAAAAAAGAAAGGCTATTCCACAGGTATCAAACAGAAGCTATTTCAGTAAGTTAGTTCTTCATAGGAAACCCTAAGGGAGGCAGGGTTGCTGGGAAGAAAATAAGACACTCACAACAAAGAGGTCAAGGAGCTACAACCTGAAGACGATACAAACTGTTTTTGAAGCACTGCAAATCAGCAAAACAAAAGTAGTTTCAGAAGATCCGCTCAATCCAATCAATAAAGCTTTACTCTATAAATCACCTAAGACATTCGATATTGAGGACACATAAACAGAAACCTGATTTTCGCAAAGGCCATCAGGCAAATGATACTACGCGTAGAGTGGCATGATGTGCGGACACACAAACGGGACAGAAGTAAAGATGACTAATCTATAGGGCTAACTACAGGAACCAAATCGTCAGTAACCATGACAACTTAAGTAGGTGGAGGGAAATACAAACACTGCCCAGGCATCTGGGTGACATTATTCTTTCAGGTAAAGGCCCTGGAGTCAGGAAAGACTTGATTAGTGGAGGAAGATGTCTAAGAATGAAAGGGCTGTCTCCATGCAAGAGGACTCGGAGGTGACTAACACTCTCTGCTGGGAGGATCGTAAGTCACGGACTTAACCGTAGGAGTCTGGAAGCCTGTAAGACCGAACAGGGAATTACCTGGTGCAGAGCTGTCAAGCCGTCCACGTTGACTGTGTTGATGTCGGCCCCTCTGGCCAGAAGTTTTTTTACCTCTTCGGTGTCCCCGCTGGAACAGGCAGCCAGAAAGACAGCGCCGTCCTCGAAGCGGACCCTGGGGCTCCCGCGCCTCGTCTGCGTCTGTCGCCCCGCGCCCAGTCGCTCCGCGGACTCCTGCTCTGTCAGCGAGCCCCGCCAGCGCCGCAGCTGCTCAGCCCGCCGCATTCGCGCCGACTCTGCCCGCTTCCCGCCCAGGTGCTCCAGCTCTGCCATGGTTCTAGTTTCCTGCAGCTGCGGCCGAAACTAGCACTACTAGACTGCTGGTGCGACTTGGGCTACTGCTGCCGCCTCTCTCAGAGAGGTTCAACCAGGAGCAGAAGGCGGAGACCTCCGCACCGCCATCTTTATTCTTCCCGCCACTAGCACCGCCCGCACGCCCCTTTGGCTTCAACACGCAGGCGCTGCCCGGGCCGCAGGTCATCACGGGACTTATAGTAAGACACCCGCCTTGAGAGTATGCCTGAGCCATGAGGGAACTACATATACCTTAATGCATCAGAAAGGAGGCGAGGACTGACTGCTTGCTCCTTTGCCTTGGGACTCAGCAGTGTCACCTTTGCCCCGAAATTGAGTGTCTTTCAGAGTGGCGTCAGCGTCTTGCTCGGGCATGTCGGGAAGCGTAGTTTACTGTGGTTATGAGACTAATCTTGACTCCCTAATTATCATATCACACTTTTAGACTGAAGAAGGGGCAATAAGATTCCCTATTTTCTAGTGAGGAGAACTAGACGTAAAATACGTGATAGACTTGAACTCATATCCTGGTTCTTAAATCTAGAGTTATATTGATATGTATTAATCGCAGTAAATGTGAATGTATATAGATAGGAGAAGCATACATACACAAATAATATTACGTGTTTTATATAAATAACTTTCAACGTTATTTTACTCTAGGCCCAGAAAAAAAAATCTCCAAAAGGATGCATTCAAGTGTAATGGGAAAAGCTTAAGCTTTGAACTCAAATTCACGTCTGTAGACAAATTACTTTACTTTCTAATGACCTATTCCCTCTGCATAATATAAAAATAATACCTCATAGGGTAGTCGTGTGGATCAAATGTGATAATAAATGCAAGAATGCCTAGTACATTCCCTCGCACATACTGGCTAGCAACAAATATGAATTTTCCTTCTTTCTCCCTCTTCTTCCTCTACTCTTTTCATGGATCTTAAATCATTGTGACACAGATGTTTTTATCCATGATCTTTTAATCAAAGTCACAGAAAGATAACTATGGAACATCCTAAATTCCTAAGGAAACAAATGGAATATTTTTATACTTAAATTTAGTTGTAAAACCTGTATGTGTCTGATTGACTTAATAATTGCCGTTTAGGGCCTGAACTCTGAATAAAATATAATTAAATGTGCTATGCATAATGAAAGAAAACATATATGTATATTGGATTCTTTAATCTTTTATGCATGTTTGAATTTTTCATCAAAAATGATGGAAAAATAAAGCATTGAAAAACAAAACTTTATTCTATCATCTGAACATTTACTTGTTACTCAGTTTCCACTGAAATGAACTGAGAATCATATACTGAGAAATAAATGAATCAACAAATGAATGAAAATGCAAAATATCAATTTCATAATACTATGCCTGTCCATCATATGCTTTAAGTTGGGTATCTTGAATACCTTATAAATATTAATTCTTTCAGTATCTTGTATACTATGTAACACTGTGCATAAAATAATAATACTTCACATAACATTTTTCCTTTATTTATGTATTTGCAATTACTATAGAACTTGTGACTCATTCTAACTTGTCAACATGAAAATTTTTCTTACTCCAATTCAACTTCTTCCTGACAGTCAAAATTGTAAACAAGCTCCCAAGTCGAATTCTCCCTAAAGTATAAAAAGAAATTGATATTGAATCAGACAGGAAAGAATATTTAGCTGTAAATTTAACCCTCTTTGCAATCTTCTTGCAACATTATGTTCATAGATACACATAATATTATGTTCATAGATACACATATATATTTATAAAACTTCATATTTTACTGACATGACTGTCTTTTAATGAGGATTTTTTTAACTAGGATAAAAATTTCAGTGACTAATGTTATTACGTTTCTTTTGGCAGTACTGTACAGTATTCTTTTTGCATTCAGCAACAAGAAATATCTCCTTTGGGTTGAATAAGCCAAAATTGGTCAAATTCAAGTAACTTTCCCAGAAGCATGAGTTTAAATTTCAACAAGAATTCAGTATCAATACTAAGAAATTCTAGGAAGCAGAAAATACTTCCTATTGTATTTGCTTTGTTTTCTTCTTCATTTTTTTTCCTGTAGGGGTAAGCGTTTAAAACCTCATTTACAGACATTACAGAAAAGTGTAAATAGTTAAGCTCCTTGGATAATTTAAGTCCATACCTTGCTAGAAGAAAAGAAATCATCTTTCAGCTGCAATTACTAAAAGTAGTAATCATTATCTAATTTAACTGAGTCAGCCAAAAAATTATATCACAAAAACATCATTCTATCTATAATAGTTTGAAGTTGTCTTCAAAATTAAAATCATGTACCGGTTACAATGGTATACACCTGTAATCCCAGAACTCTGGGAGACTAAGGCAGGAGAGTTCTAATTTTTAAACAACTTATGTCTTAATAAGACCCTGTCTAAAATAAAAAAAAACTTTTAAAGTCTGGGGATGAAGCTCAATGCTGTGAGTTTAATCCCTAGTATCTGAAAATAATAATAATAATAATATCATGTAAGTTTTTCATAAAATATCTTCCCCCAACAAGGACTCTTCAATAGTAAATGTATATAAGCAATTTATTAAGCAAACAGGATGGTAAATACTATAAAGAAAATATTCTCACAAGTCAGTAAATCCTGATAATCCCATTTACAATTTTTTTTACTTTGAAACATGCTAAGCCATTTTATAAAGTGAAGAATGTTTAAAAATAATAATTCTCCATATTTACACTTTAAAAATAAATTATAGTAGACTTCTTCACCGTTAAAAATAACACCTGTAGACAAAGTTTATAAAAATCTTTCATTCTGGTCTCTAGTCTCATCAGTTAACATACCTCCCTCTAGTGGACAAAAAGAAGCTGTATGCTTAGCATGAGTCTGTCTCTCCCTTTCTGACTTTTCATTTTCTCTTTTCTCCCTTGTTCTTTCCTCCTCCTTCGCTCTCCTTTACCCTTTCATTTTCATTTTCCCTTCCATACTATAGATAGTTGCTAATTTTATATCTTTATTCCTTTACACCAAACTCAATACAATTTGTGCTTTTTCTAAGAGACATTTAAAGGAACCAGTTTCAGGATCTTTTGTTTGTTTGTTTTTTGGTATCGCGGATTGAACTCATGACCTCACACTTGTCAGGCAGGTGCTTATGCCACTGAGCCAAATCCCTGGTCCGGAACTGTTTTTCAGAACCACCCAGGAAAGTAATCAGTTTCAGTTCTGAAAACACACCTGTAGTTGATAGACAATTACTGTTGGAGTTTAAAAAGACACTGACGGAATGAAATATCTGAAAATATCAGTAGTAAAATAAAAAGCAACAGCCTAGCATGGAGTATGGTGGTGCATGCCTGTAATTCCAGCATTTCAAAAGCTGAGGCAGGAAGATCATCATGCGTTCACTACAGGTGAGACCCTGTCTCAAGAAAAAAAAAGTAGCAACTCAAAATTATGACAGAAAACACTTCTTTGCAATAAGTAAATGCTAATAACAAATGTAAAATCTCAACACCTAACTAAAGATTAGTAATAGGACTTTGTATGTTTTCTAATTTCATAATAATAATAACTCATCAGCTGTTTTAGTTAGCTCAGTCCTCCATTTAAATTGAGGAACCTCAGGGTAGAATTATAGACAGTCTTAGTGAATATGTGAAAAGAAAACATACCATACAGTGATCGTGGGGAACAAATTACTACACATTAATTTGTTCTGAAGGTAGTCATGGCTGTAATAGTCAATATTATGTTGAATTGTAAGTTCAGGGAGAGACTGATCCTTATTCCTTTGCCACCGCTGTTAGGAAGCTAAACAATGAGCTTGGAGAGGTGAGAAGGGAGGGTTGACTTTGTCCACCCACCGGGTTGTCATTGTCCAGGCAAATTCCAATGTGTCTGCCTGATTCTCAGGTCGGTCTCTGCTATCCTTCAACTCTCAAGGAACTCACTTCTGAGAAGTTGGGGTTGGCTTAGCTATCAATAGCTCTTCCTGTTAAGAAAGTATCACACTTCTAGAGTTGGAAGACAGTCTAAAAATCATGTATTCTAAGGCTGGCCATGTGGCTGGGGGCGGGGGGGGGGGGCGAAAGCACACTTAACGTGTGTGACCCTAGGTTAAATCTGAGCACCAGGTTAAAAACAGAAAGAAAGAAAGGAAAAGGACTTCTATTCCAGTCTTTCACCCAATGTAAGGATCTGCTTTACCTTCTCCCCAATAATTACTCCCTAACCTCCACCTGAACACAACCAGGGGGGCAGAAATTCGATCTATCCACTTTGTTCTTCGGAGTCCTAATAGATAAAATGCTTTATTGAGCTAAATTTTAACTTTAAGCTTTCTTTCTTTCTTTTTTTCTTAAGAGACAGGCTCTATGTAGCTCAGGCTGACTTCAAACACGATGGATCACAAGCGTGCGCCACCACGCCCGGTTTAACTTTTAACTTCCGTTTGTTTTAGATGTGTTTTTCTAAATAGTGACGTGTTCCATGTGAACAATGTTTTAAATAAGAGGATTAGCTGTCAACTACTCGGCCTCAAATTACTCCACTGTTCCTGCTCCTCCCTCCACTCTGACAAACAGGACTGCCTCAATAACTGAGGTCGCACAGATCGCGCAGCCCAGGATCGCCCAGCTCACGCCAGACCGTGTGTCCATGACAATACTTGAGGACGTCTCCGCAGCTAGAAGCCCAGAGCTGGGATCAGTGTGGCGGCGCCCAAAGCGCGCGCTCCGAATTGAACGGAAGTAGGGTCAGAGGACTAGCCAATAATTGGGTACGCTCCTCTCCCGAGGATTGCAGCGGACCAATCACAATCCTTGCGACGCAAGAGGCGGAGCCACGTCAACGGTCTGTAATTTCGCGGGTTCGTAACTCGTTCACTGTTGTGGGGTAAGGTCGTGCAGGTGAGATTTCCCGTTTCCCACCTGAGAAAACGGACCCCAGAGGCGGTCACAGTGGGTCTTGAGGGAAGACGTCCTGTTTCTACGTATGATTGGCGTTTTCCTCTTCTCTGAGAGGAGAGTCCGAAAACCTGCCGGTAAGCGGAGGCTTACACAGTTTTTTCGTAAAGGGTTTGTGGGAACTCTCCCGCAGAGCAGGGGAGATCCGTCGAATGGACGCCCACTTTAGTCGCTGCGGAGTGTATCTTGGTTGTTATTGCACCACAACTCACGTCTTGGTCATTAACTACTAATTTAGTAAACTTCCTACAGATTTGGATACAAAGTGGGTTTTTGTTGTTTTTGAGACTGGGCTTGTAGTCGTCCTGCCTCAGCTTTCCAGAGCGCCGGAATTACAGGCGTGACACCCCCCCCCCTCCCATGCCGGCTACAAAATACCTTTTAAAAACTTGGAACCTGGGGCTGGGGATTTAGCTCAGCGGCATAAGCGCCTGCCTTGCAAGCAGGCAGTCGTGAGTTCGATCCCTGGTACCGATAAAAAGGAAAAAGACAAAAAAAAAAAAAAACTTGGAACCTGCCACGCACAGCCCTTCTTAATGAGATAAATTACAACGCAGGCTGCAAACTGACGTGAAAGAGAAAGAAGGTGATATTTGAAAGTTGTAGAATTGGGATGCTTAACCGCAGAGAGGGAAGAAGTTGTAATCTGATGTGTGCGTATAGAGGTTGTGCCTATAGAGGTGTGATAAAGAATGAAACTTGTGCGAATATAGGTCAGTGTAGCTAAAGCATACGTTTGTCGCAAGTAGTTACTGAATATAAGGCTGAAAACATGGGTTGGAGCTAGACTGGAAAGAACCTTTATGCCCTGAAAATCTACAGTAATTGATGATTTTTTAAACAGCCAATAGTAGCAGGTACCATTTTCTATTAAACTAGTGAGACTGGAGTCGGATTGCTTTTTCAAGAGCAATTGCCTCATTCTTGGTCTGTTCTAGTTCCATTACCATCCATTTTCACTGTTCTCATTTTATGGAAGGTACAGCTTATGCCCGTGGGCAGTTTTAATTGATTGCCAGCATCTGCCTATGGAGAAAGTTGTAAGGATATAAGGTTAATTATCAAGTAACTTGCTCCAAGGTGATGGTCAAAAGGGGGCTGAGTGTATAGCTCCGTGTTAGAGCATGTGCTTAGTAATGTCAGAGGCCTTGGCTTCCATGCCTAGCGCCATAGAAAAGGTAGCTAAGAAATTTGGAAATTTATTGTTTAAAGGAGATCACAAGTTCAAGACCAGCCTGTGCAATTTAATAAAACCCTGTCTAAAAATAAAAAAGAACTCGATACGGAGGTCAGCACTCCCTGGGTACAATCCACAAGGAAAAAAAAAAAAAACAACCAAAGGACTAAAATTAATCTTTGCATGAGGCTGCAGGAGAATGTCCTTACCCATCCAATACACGAATTCAATTTCCTTTGAATGTATTTTTATGGTTAAAATAGATGTATCAAAACTGATAGTGATCTAACTGTGACTTTTACAAATTCATTGGCTTCTGGATAATTGAAGAGTTTGTGTGTAGGCTGACATAAATTAGTATATCTAAGCCCCATAGAATCTAGTTTTACTGCTGAGAACTAGATCCCAAAATCATGCCTAGACCAAGTGTTCATGTGAGGTCTTGCTTTAAAAGATTACTTATTTATAACATCTCCACTTGATCTATCACCATTTGCTCAAAAACATTAAGCCAGGTACTGCTCACCTCATCAAAAAAAAGAAATAGAAACTCACGTCAAAAATCTGTCTGATGTAAGAAGAGATGAGTTATTAATTGTGTGTTTGTACATATAGTACCGTGGATCTTTTGACTTTTTCCCCCTGTGGTACTAGAGATTGAACTCAGGACCTTATATCCCCAACCCTTTTTTCATTTTGAGACAAGGTGTCATTAGGGGAAGTCACTCAGGCAGGGCTCAACTTGCAGTCATCCTATCTTAGTCTTCCAGGTGTGTGCCACCACTTCCTGCAATCTTTGACATTTAATAGAACTCCACTGGAGATCTTTTTGGATCTCAAAATTTATTATAGTATTTACTTTTCCTTAAAATAAAATACAATTTATAAATATGTAACTCATTCAAATCCTTAGTGTTGCTGTAATTGCAAATTTTGAAGTCATTAGGATGGGTGCTAAATTAAAATCTATTTTTACTAAAGTGCTTTTTTAAAAAAAAATTAACAATTATTCATGAATAGTTTTTGTACTGATGGGAGTATTCCTATCAGTTTTTGCTATATCTGTAGAAAGTATATGTGGTCTTATTTTCACATCAACATTCAAGTTTCATGTTTGAATATTTAGTATATCCTAAGCTTCTATCTTCTGCTTATTGACTTTTTTTTAAAAATTTTACTTACTGCACATTTCCATTTCTGTAGCATTGATTAGCTTTTTACTCAGGATAAGCTTTTAGTGTGTTTATTGAGATTGGCATGCAATAAGCTGCACAGATTTAAGGTGTATAATTTGATAGATTTTAACTTTAGTATGTGTTTGTGAAAATATTGCCACATTGAGATAGTAAGTTTATTGTCTCCAAAAGTTTTATGACTTGTTGAGCACCTCTTAATCATCAAGTTTGGTTTTCATCAGCTTTGTGACCTTCTTGACTACTTACTCTTTTTAATGGTGGTATATGTTAGTTTCTTTTTTCTCTTTAAAATTACAAAAAAAGATTTGATAATACAATGGTAATTAGAAGGCAATGTAACATGGTCTTACATATTTACAATTGAAAAGTCAAAATATGATAAATTTATGTATCCCATCCCCAAATAGATTCAACATTAACATTATAACCTTATTTTGGAAAAGAAAAACTTTAAGTAGGATGGAAATAATAATAAAAGATAGTAGAAATCATTGAAATAGAAAATAAATTTTGAACAGAGAGACATGACAAAATGTTCTGTGATACATACATGGCAAAATTGCACAAAGGGAAAGAGGGAGCACAGGTAAACATTGTTAGTATTGAAAATGGAAAGGTATGGTGGCACTTGGGAGACTGAGGCAAGAGGATTTTAATTTTGAGGCCATCCTGGGCAAAGTAACTGTTACGGTGTTTGACACAGTTGAGAGAAGAAGACAGAGATTAAAGCCTTTATTGTTGGCAGGGGAGGGTTGCTGGAAATTGCTAGGCCCTCAAAGCAGACAAAGCTGTGGGGTTGGGATGGGGTAGAGACTACGTGAGGGGACAGGTCATCTTGTTGGGAGAGGACTGGAGGACTTTTTGGCGTCAAGGGTGGGGACTACCTGAGTGGACGGTGTCAGGATGGGGATTGGAGGACCTGTGGCGTGTACGCAAAAGGGAGACAGAAAGTTTATTGTTTGGGACCAGAAGACAAGCATGGCTGTTAGTGTAGGACAGATATGCTGTTGTTTTAGAGGTCAACACCATGTTGGGCAGGTGCCGTACTGAGCCTGACAGAGTCTCGTAAAGCAGAACCCATCAGTAACAAAAGGTTAGAAGAAAGAGAAATGGAAAGCATAACCATGTAAGATACTACAAAGATAGAAAAGATAACTTTTTACAAGTAAATTTAAAACAAATAAATTTAGCGCTTAGGGAAACTGAGTCAGGGAAAATCACAGGTGTGAATCCCACCAGGTCAACTTAGTCCCTGTTTCAAAAGTTTAAAAATCATCTGAGCAAGATGGCCCGTACCTGTAATCTTAGTGCTGGAAAGGCTGAGGCAAGAGAATTGCCAGGAGTTTGAGGCAGCATGAACTATGTAGTGAGTTCAAGGGCAGGCTGAACTACATAGTGAGCCTTTGTCTTGGAAAAAAAGAAAGAAAACTTTAAAAAACAAAAGATCTGGTGATGTGCTACTGTAGCTCGATGGTATCGGGCCCCAGAGTTTGATCTATAGCACCACAAAAAACTGAAGTTAATTTGTAGAAAATTTTAACTTGACAAAATTAAAATTCAAGAATAAAACTTGAATGATGCTTTAACATTTTTTTAAAAATGGAATTTGTAGCTTCAATGTTTCTCAAGCATTAACCCCAAGATCAGATGGAGTTCTGCCAAAAAAAACCTTGAAACAAAATATCTCTCAGACTGTTTGGCTATCTGTAAAAGGAGACAACACTCCCTAACTCATTTGAAGACTAATAACATAATCTTAACACCTGATAAAGACAAAATTAGTGTTAGAAGCTTCTCCTTCAGGTTAGAAATCAGACAAGAATACCAGATATCTGATCTTCTATTCAACATTATACTAGAAGTTATCACCTGGAGAAAACACAGGTGATAGAGAAGACAGAGATTAGAAGGGGAGAAAGAAAGTGATTAAATGTAGACTGTATGATTGGCTATTAGAATTACTATCCCACTTCCTGTCCCCAAATAGATTTAACATTAGCATTGTAAGGTTTTAATTAAAAATCAATTCTATTGTAGCTGGACATAGACATATTATAAGAAGGCTGATGTAAGAAGATTACAAATTTGAGGCCAGCCTGGCACCTTAGAGTACCTCAACAGTTTAATGATACTTACATACAACAGTAAGAAATGTGTAGAAAATTGAGTTTTAAAAATACACAGTAGGTGGAGGATTGCACTTAGGACCTTTGCACTGAGTCGCATATCTAGCCTTCCCCCTTTTTATTCTTTTGAGTCAAATCCTCACTAAATTGCCCATGCTGGGCTTGAATTTATGATTCTCCTGCCTCAGTCTCCCTGGAGTGCTGGTATTACAGGTGTGTATCACCACATCTGCTTAAAAATATAAAGTATTTATGAGTAAATCTTACAGACATCAAGTGAAGCTTTATACAGAAAATTATAAAACCTTTGAAAAGCATAAAAAAGAAGAAAGATGTGTCATGTTCATATGAATATCTTAGAACTTGATTTTTTTTTTTTTTTTTTTTTTTTTTGAGACAGGGTCTCACTATGTGGTTCAGGCTCACTTGTAGCCCAGGCTGGTCTCGAACTTGCAATGATCTTCCTGCCTCAGCCTCCTGAGTGCTGGGATTACAGGAGTACACCATCATGCCTGGCCAGAACTCAGTACTATAAAGACATTGTTTCTTCTCCACTTAATCTGTGAGAGTAGTGTGTGTATGCCTATAGTTATACACCCTTCTGAATTGTTTCTAAGATTTATTTGAATGATCAAAAGCCCAAGAGTAAAGATTCCTAAAACATAAGAACAGTGTTGATAAGCTACAGTCAAATGTCTGTTATACATCTTAAACACCATAAATACAATTTTTGTCAGTTATACCTCAGTAAAGCTAATGACCAGTAGTAATTTTTTTTTTTTTTTTTTGCGGTATTGGGGATCGAACTCACAACCTCAAGCTTGCCAGGCAGGTGCTTAAACTGTTGAGCTAAATCCCCAGCCCAACCAGTGGTAATTGAAACAGTAGGATACTGACTGAAAGATAATCCAATTGACCAGTAAAACAAATTCAACAGTCCCAAAACAAAACACACATGTATGTAGATTCTTAACTTATGGTAATATCAGAGAAAGGATGGACTTTTTAATAAATGATACTAGGAACACATTTTAAAGTAGACTTGCACCTCATTACACAAAAATCAATTTCTACTGAATTAAAGATGTAAGTATGAAAAATAAAGTTATTTTTTAAAAACACCCTTTAAATTTGGAGTGCAGAAAAAAAATTAAAGTTAATATTAAGAGTGTCCTCATCAAATGCCACCATGAATAAAAGTGCAAAGATAAGCCACAGATATTTGTAATACATATCAAAGTAGTGATATCCCTTAGATAGTTATTAGAGGAAAAACTAGAGCAAGAAGGGTATTGAGTAGCTAGCTACACGTGGGTTTTATTTTAGAGAGAGACTTTGAGCATATTTGAATGTTAATGACTAAGAAACAAAGATTAAAAATAAGAGGCTGGGGATTTAGCTCAGCGGCATAAGCACCTGCCTTGCAAGCAGGTGGTCGTGAGTTCGATCCCTGCTACTGATAAAAAGTTAAAGTTAAAAAAAAAAAAGAGCAAAGGTTAAAAATAGTGGAGAACAATGAACTAGTTGAAAGAGTAGTTTTTCATTTGGAAAGCTAAGGAATCTACAACACATTAGAAAACTTCAGAAAAGTATTAGCTTGTAAATATCTCAAGAGTATTGACCATCTCTCCTTGCTCTCCCAAAGCATATATAAAATCACTAATTGTTAGGGTTTATGTCTGGATGTCTCCCCAAAGCCACACGTGTTCAGAGGGTCAGGCTTCTAGAGTTTGTGGTTGATTCACAGTCCGATGTTAGGATTATAGATGTGAGTGCTACACGTATTCTAGAGTGTAGGCTATAAGGGACAGAAAGTCTTCTCACACTTCTCCCTCTTTTGCTTTTGTTGTCTTCTGTCTGCAATGAACTATTGTTCCTCTGCTACACCACCCTGCCTAGGAGCAAGCTGATTATGGACTGAAACCTCCATAAACTGAGCTAAACAAACCTTTCCTTCCTTCACTTTGGACATGAGGTATTTTGTCTCAGCAATGAGAGAAAATTAACACAGAATTTAGTACCAGAGAAGTGGGGTAGTTGCTGTGATTGTACCTGACCACATGGTTCAAGAGGAATAGCTTATAGGAAGAGTTTAGAAAGGTTCAGAGATGTTGCCTGAAAGAGTAGAGCTGGAACACCTTAGGCTGTTCTGTGTGGGAGAATCTGGTCAGAGTTCAAAAGACTGATAGAAATTCTGTGAGTAAAGAGCACACTGAGAAGGTTTCTGTGGGGAAGAAGGACTACATTTGGTTGTTGGAGTCCAAATGATGTGTGTCATGGCTTGGCAAAAAGTTTGTCTGCATTTCGCTCATGTCCAGAGACTTTCATGAGACTAAGATTAAGGGTGGCAGACTAATCTGGCAAGAGAAATTTCAAGGCAGTCGAATGTTGAGGCCTGGCTATTGTTGGGGGGCATTTAGCCAGATTTATATTGCAAATCAAGAGCAAAGAGCCCAGCAAGATGATATAAAATGTTGTGTTTGGCTAGAAGGAAAGCTGCAGTAAAGCTAGGGACTACAAAGATAGAGCAGAGGAGATCCTGATTGTTAAGAAGGAACAGGAGAATATAAGATAGTCTGGTGGCATCATGAGAAGCAATAGGTTTCCACCCTTTGCAGCCTTAGAACTAAAAAAGTGTAAGTTCTGCTTTGAAGAAAAAGCTACAAAGCACCATGTTCCAGAATGGTGACAGCCACATTGTTCCAGAATGACAGTAGTGGCCACACCAGGTTCCAGAGTGGCAGCAGCATACAAAACTTGTTCATCAGAATCAGTTTCAGGGTGCTTAGTGATTTAGGCACTCAACCTCTATAGCCAAGAGAGAAGAATGCCTGGCTACTGCTCCAGCGGCAGCAGACCTTAGCAGCATCCACATGATGCTGGTTTCTAGGCACATGCAGAATGCAAGAGTTCTGAAATTAAAAAGGCTTCCACCCAGATTTCAGAAGAAGGCCTGGGAGGCCAGGCAGTGTACCCCTGAGAGGGCAGTGTGAGAAGCTGTGAGGGCAAAACCAAAGGCACAGTAGAGACCCCAGAAGTTTAAGAAGCCAGGAACATGGATCATATGAGGAAACCTGCAAAGAAGGAGCAAAGCAGGCCCAAGAGAGAGGCCATGGGAGCTACAGCCACCAGAAGTACCGCAGAGGCACAGGCATGCAAAACTCTGGAGCTCACAACTTGTCACAGATGGCTTTGGATGTTCCATATGGAACGAAAGCACTTCATATTTGCCCTGCTGGATTTGGGGCTTGCTTTGGTCCTGTTCTTTTGTATTCCCCTATTTGTAACTTTTGGAAGGAAATGTTTAGTTTTGCCATTGTATGCTGCAAGCATGTGGGGGACCACCCAGATAACTCCTTGAAAAGAAGAGCAACTATCTCCATTTCGGATAAACTTGGCCCTGTCTCCATGTATTGATACATACAGAGTTAGCTAGGCTATTTCTTTGTCCTTTCAGTTAGCTTTAAGCAGTGTAACTTGGGTGATTGAGGAGCTGATGTTTAATCTGTGAAGCTAAGTGACATGTCAGTGTTACCCCACCCAGTGACTACCCAAATATGTGGTTGAGCTGAGTGTTACCCACCCAGTGACTACCCAAATATATGGTTGAGCTGAGTGGCATGGAGAGCCATCCTCCATGCTGTCAGCTGGGACTGACCCTCAGGCAAGAGGCTATGACTTCTCACAGTAAAAATAATTGTACATTAGAACAAAAGTGCTGACCCCAAATTATTGGATGTTACCTCACTTGTGTTATGTAGATTACACTCTCTACATTTCTTGCCCTATGCATATCGCAGAGGTGAACTCAGACCTCCTACCTAGCCCAGCTCACAGTAGTCACGGCAGTCACATGTTTCCTGCCACTCTCACTGTCACTCATCCCTGAGCCACTCCCCTCATAGAGAATAAAACCCAGATTGGACCCTGGATGTGGCCTTTGTTCTGGTGAACCACCATCTTGGCTGGACTTAGGATCCCTTGGCTCTCCATACATCTTACCTTAGGTTGCATTGAAAGTGGTAGATTGGAATTAACTCACTAGACTTCCAGTAACAACTTTTTAACATTACAAATACAAACCTTCCTGGACTGCAATGAGGATGTGAAAAGGATCTCTATTGAAGCATTCAATTTTCTTTTTCTTTGTATAGGGACTCATAGCTAAGAGTTTGCCTTACATTTTGGAGGAGACTTGGGACCTGGACTTTTCAGCAGTGCTGAAACTGTTAGGATTTTGGCACCTCTTAGAAATGAACTGAAGTCTGTTGCATAAAAGATGTGCATGAGTCTTTGGGGGCCCAGGAGTGGAATGTTATGATTTGTTTCTGAATGTCCCCCCAAAGCCTCATGGTGAAGGAGGCAGGCTTCTAGAGTTTGTTATTGATTCATGGTCCAATGCTGGGATTATGGGTGTGATTGCTACAACCACCTAGGGTAGGTGACCTGCATACAATATAAGGGACAGAAAGAGTCTTCTCACATTCCTCCTACTTTTGCTCTTGCTGCTTTTGCTGTCTTCTGCCACCATGTTGCCCTCTACCATGAGCCACCATGCCTTGAAACCAGATGAGTATGGGCTGAAACCTTCACAAACTGTGAGCTAAATAAATCTTTCCTTACTTAACTTTGGGTGTCAGGTATTTTATCTCAGCAGCGAGAGAAAAGTAGCCAACACACTAACATAGCTAATTTAAGTCAAGTGCCTTACCATGCTAGGGTTGCTGAGAGTACATTGGTGAGCAAAATCAGACCCAGGTCCTGACCTTATTCAATGGGCTGTAGTTGTGGTTTTTGGTGCTAGGGAACAATGCACATGTCCTCACACATGCTTTACTTTTTTTTTTTTTTTGTCTTTTTGAGACAGGGTCTCCTATGCAGTTCAGACTAGCTGTGAGCTCATTTTGTAGCCCAGGCTGGTCTTGAACTCACAATAATCCTCCTGCCTCAGCCTCCCGAGTGCTGGGATTACAGACGTGAGACACCACGCCCAGCCCATGCTTTACTTTTTAATTCTTTTTTGTTTGTTTGTTTCTTGCTATGTAGTGTAGGCTGGCCTTGAACTCACTATGTAGCCCAGGATGATCTCAAATTTTCACTGACCCTTCTGCCTCAACCTCCCAAGTGCTGGGATTGTAGGTGTGCATCACTGTGCCTAGTTTCTTTATGTAATTCTTTATGTCAAAAATTAACTTGCTTGAGTAGATAAATAGTTCACAAGAAGGAAACAGAAAAAACTTAAATCTCTCTTGTCAGAACCGAAATTAATAAGAAGAGTTGTTTTTTACTACATAAAAGCCATGTACTGAAAATTCCTCAGTTGTTCTTTCATCTTTTTTTCCCCCTAGTCCATCTTAAGCAGCCCTTGGTGTGGAGTGGTAAACTTTGTATATTCCTCTTTACTTGAGAGTCATGCAGAGAGCTTCACGTCTGAAGAGAGAGCTGCAAATGTTAGCTACAGAGCCACCTCCAGGAATCACATGCTGGCAAGAAAAGGACCAGATGGATGACCTGCGAGCTCGTAAGTGTCATGTCATGACAATATGAGAGTCATGACCCTATTAAAAGATCGCATTAAAATTCAAAGATTTGTATATTTTTCTAAAGTAGGGAACAGATGTAAGGTCAACATGCTCTACCATCTTTTTTCCTTAATTTGTATTAATAAGAAGTTTACTTGATTTTTTTTTTTTACTTTTTATTTTACTTTTGATGACTTATAATCAAGATTGGGTATCAGCTTAGCAGTACTATTTATATCAGATGGCCATCTGAAGTATCTATGAAATCAGGTAGAAGCATAACTGATTAGAATACCACAGTCCAAACAAATCTGTAAGTTTTATTTGGTCTTTGCAAGTTCTGTTTTATTTGATTTTTTAAAAATACTCATTTATTTATTTTGGTTTCTTTGAGACAGGGTCTCATTATGTATCCCGGGCTGGCCTCAAATCCATGATCCTCTTGTTTAAATCTCCCAAGAGCTAGAATTATAAGCATGAGCCACCACCCTCAGCACAACTCCTATTTTAGGTCTTTTGTATGTCCTTTGACACCATCAACCTTTAGGATATATCAGCATTATAGTGTGGTACATAAGACTTATTAAACCCCTGAGAAGAATTATTGTTATAAACCTAGTTTCTTGTAATTCAGATCATCTGATTCCCTTTTAACTGTTCCTTGCTTTTTTTTTTTTTTTTTTTTCTTTTAAGAAATACTAGGTGGAGCCAGCACACCTTATGAGAAAGGTGTTTTCAAACTAGAAGTTATCATTCCTGAGAGGTTAGTGGGAATTAAATTCTTGACCTACATGGAAAATCCTAGTCATCAGCAGACAAAACAATGTGGTACATGAGGATTAAATGTAGGGGTTAAAGGACCTGAATGTTAATCCTGTTTCTTACCATGATTTAATTTGGCAAATTATTCTCTCTGAAGTTCAGTTTCCTTCTTTAAAATAATGGACCATATCACAACTCAGCTTTCCCCTTCTCCCTTAAATTGTGGTGATATATATATGCCAAATAGAGAATATATGTATAACAAATCTCTGTTTTAGCCTTTTTTTGGAGCCTTTTTTTTTTAGCCTTTTTTTGAATCTTGTTGAGTAGCCAGTGCTAGCTGGCCTCGATGTTACAATCCTTCCTCAGTCTCCCAAGTACTAACATTACAGGCATGTACCACCATGCCTGCATTTTAGCCACTTTAAAATGTACATTTCACATTGTTGTATAGCCATCACTTCATCTATCTCTAGAACTCTTCCATTTTCCCAACTATACCTTCATAGCCAATAAATAGGAACTCCTCATTGTCTCTGCGCCCATGCCTTGGCAGCCACCATTCTATTTTCCATCTCAATGTTAAGGCCCCTCAAGTATCCTTTAAGGCTCAAATCATTAAGTTGTAATTTTGTGCAGAAAGAGCAAGGAATGAAATGAATATCTAACTGCTGAACCATACCTGTTTACCATGTCAGATCCTGGCCAGACTTGTTAAAATCTTGAGAGATTAGCTTAATAGTCATGTTTTACATCTGTCTAAAAATAGACTTAGGATTTCCCAAAGTTTGTGTCTCACTAGGAAACATAATAACTAAATATAATGCATAAATATTAATTGGATCCTGTTTTGAGATATCCAACTATAAAAACATTGGAGGATAATTAAAGAAATCAAAATAGTAAGTTATATTGGGAAATTACTTTAAAAGTTTTCAATAGAGGCTGGGGATTTAGCTCAGTGGCATAAGTGCTTGCCTTGCAAGCAGGCAGTCGTGAGTTCAATCCCTGGTACCAATAAAAAATAAAAAGTTTTTCAGTGATATATAGTACTATAATTATATAGCATGTCCTTATTGTTACATGTTAAATGCTTGTTTTAGAAAGCAAAATGTCTTAAATCCAGTCAGTAGATATTTTTTCATACTATTTTTCATACTGAACAGTTCAACTTTTCTGATCATTTGTAAATTTTTATAATAAAAATTCGGGAAGAAAAAATCTGCCTCCCAAATACTGTCTTCCTTATGTTTTTCTAATACATATATATTAATGATTGGGAATATTTATATGTGTATTTAAATGTATTTAAAATATACTAAGAAACAGTATTACAGTAATAGTAATGCTGTGTTGTGTACATCCAAAGGTACCCATTTGAGCCTCCACAGATCCGATTTCTGACTCCAATCTATCATCCAAATATTGATTCTGCTGGAAGGATTTGTCTAGATGTTCTTAAATTGCCACCAAAAGTGAGTAGCAGTTAAAGGATTGACTCTGGCATTGTTTTCTTCATCTATACAATCACAGTCTCACGTTCTTACTCTGTGTATAGGGTGCCTGGAGACCAGCCCTGAACATCGCAACTGTGTTGACTTCTATTCAGCTGCTCATGGCAGAACCCAACCCTGATGACCCATTGATGGCTGACATTGTAAGTAGCCCCCTTTCTACTGCAGCGCACAGGCCACTTTCTTTGTGCCTCTAACATTGTGTGTGTGAGGATAGTGGTATCAGCAGAGCTTAGCACTGGACATCATTTTTTCCCCATTAACTCTTTTCTTTGATGTCATCTCAGTCCTCAGAATTTAAATATAATAAGCCAGTCTTCCTCAAGAATGCCAGGCAGTGGACAGAGAAGCATGCAAGACAAAAACAGATGGTATGATATTTGCTACTATTATAAGTTCATTCATTTTGTGTGTGTCTACTATATATATATATGTATATATACATCCACACGCAACACACACACATATATATTGCTTATTAGATTTGCCAGATTTGTGCCGTATCCTTGAATGGCTACCTTGATCTTTTTCTCCTATTGCAACTTTCTAATAATTCAGCAAAATAGCCTTAAATAGTTCAGCCTCAGTAAATTTTTCCTAACAATTGTCATCTGTTTACAACACTAGAGGGCAGGCCACATCTAGCGTAATATTTTTCATTTCTTAGGTATAGCAGAGATAGAGGAAAGATGGTCACATTCTTTTTTCCTAGATTGTCTTGTTTAACAGTGAGAATGACTTATATTTATAGGGACTTATCGCAGAAATAGGAAGGGGTTGTTGGTAGAAGGGGAGAATTTGTGTTTCTTATGAATTATACATAGAAGAAGGGAGAAAGAAAACTTCCCCAATTTAAGTTGATAAAGTGTCCTTATTTAACAAAATGCAAATTTCAGGAACATGGAAATTAGTCTTCTGGTTCTTGCTGAGTTATAGCATTCTTCAGATTGAGTTAAGTAGCTGTTATGTGTTACTTGTTTTAAAAAGGAGTAATTCAAACAGACAAAAAATTGAAGATGCTTTTAGAGAAAATATGTACTCATTGTAATGTATAAATCATAACAAAAGAAGTATCTGGAAATAACATTATAGAGCTTTATCTTTTCAGTGGCATTTGCATGAACCTTGTTACATTTTACCCTATCTTTTCTTTTTAGGCTGATGAGGAAGAAGTACTTAATAATTTATCAGAGGCCAGTAACTCTGAAAGAGACAACTCAACACAAAAAAGGAAGGCTAGGAAGCTAGGAGGCATAGAGAAGAAGTTTTGCCCTAATGTTCAAAGAGTTTGTCCTGACCCATCTTAGTTAATACATTCTTTACAAGGTGGTCTGATTTGCTTACCTTTTTTGAATGTTTTTCTTTGTTTTTAGTGACATTATAATTTTTGTATTCTATAAAGGACTTTGTGTATTTATGTATTCTACTCTACAGTGATTTTGATTATAGTTTGTTTTATTTACCGTGTACATATGTATTTTGAAGTCTTTTAAACCTGAAGAATAAATAATCATTTAATGTTGAGTATGAGTATTTGTTTATCCTAAATGTGTGTCTGGGAGTGAACTGGCCAAAGTGCTATATACTCAGGATGTTAAAATATTTGGAACTGCTCTTTATTTTGCCAGCTTACCACCATCACTAGGAACACTGAATGTTTGGTGTAGATGTAAAATAGCTACTAGAAATAATTCAGTTTTTTCTAGGTTTTCAGGGAGTCCAGCATTTTAGAAGCCTTAAAACGCTATAAAGCAATGTGCCCTTTCTTTAATGTTTAATTTTTTTTTGCAGCTTTCACCGTTTGTGACTTATATAGCTGGCCAAATTTCTGTGGTGTAACTTTCATTTGCAGTAGATACTTAATAATATGTACCGATACTTAATAATATGTGCCTACTATGTGCCAGGTATCATTGTTTGACAATGTAATGGTGAGAAAATCAGACACAGAATTAATCAAGTAATCATGCAAATTTAAGTAGAGATTGTTATGATCCCTCTTACTCCCTAGCATCATTTCATGGCAAATACTACTCTGAACAGTTCAGTGCCAAATTTGAATCTCTTACTCATGACTTTATAGTACACGTGTCTGTGTTTATGTGTGGTGCTGGGAGTCCTACCTCCCCAGGGCCTTATGCATGCTGGGTAAGTGTTGTAGCACTGAGCTACACCCCAATGCTGTTATTCTACTTCAATGACAGATACTACAGATTTGAATGGAAATGAATTGAAAAAGAGGTTATCCATGATAAATGAAAGACTTTGGGGAAAATAGTCTGTCCATAAGCCAGTATAGCAGTGATGATTTTATACCTGGACTTGATACCATGCACATAAAACCCATCAGTGGGCAATTTCCATTCATTTGCCTATGTAGGGTACCTTGTGCCCTTCACCCAGCAGAAGTCTGCTATGTGACATGTATGGTATTGAATGCATACAAAGATTAGAAATGTAAATTTCTATAATTCATTAACGATAGGTAATGCCATAAACTAACAATATAGTTTCCTAATCTCTACAGAATTTTATTTTTTCAGTGCTAAAATTTGAACCCAAGATCTTGCACATATTAGGCCAGTACTTACCACTGAGTTATATTTCCTAGTCCTTATATAATTCTTGAACTTACTTCTCAGTTACTGTTCTCTTTTAAAGGTCCAAGAATTAGTTTTATTCCAGTTTGTCTTCTGTACTTGTTAAATCAGATTTGGCATTCCTAGGTACCATTAATGTATCAATTAGGATGCTTTGAGTTGTGCAAGAAACCCAACTCAGGCTGGTAATAATAAATTCCTTTGCTTTCTACGTAGAAAAGGGTAGAACAAATATCTGGATGGGTGGACTCAGAAGCTTAACAATATCATTAAGGTCTTGCTCTCTTCCCATCTGCAATCCATACTAACAGCTTTTTCTTAGGCTGTTTGTTCCTCAAGTTTTTCCCCTCCTGTGTAACTAGCAGCAGCAATCACATACTTTGTCTTTTTTGTTGTTGGAGGTTGAAGGGGTGGGAGTAGAGATGGTCTTGCAGTGTTGTCCACACTGGCCCTTGAACTCACTATTTTATTTTTTTTTTTTGGTACTGCTGTTCGAACTCAGGACTTCGCACTTGCCAAGCAAGCACTTGTGCCACTGAGCTAAACCCCTAGCAGCAAGAATAATCTTGACAGTATAAGTCAAATTTGACGTCTCCCCTCAAGAGACTCTAAAGTGACTTTTTGCATTTAAACCAAAACTTTAGTCTACTTTCCTAGCCCCTAATCCCCTGCATGGGCTGGCCCCTACTTAATTTATTCTTATCGCATCCCCTTTCCCCTGTGAACACCACAGTCCAGCCACACTGGCTACTTTCCTTTTTTTTTTTTTTTTTTTTTTTTTTTGTCTTTTTCATTTTTATCGGTACCGGGGATTGAACTCAGAACTGCACACTTGCAAGGCAGGCGCTTATGCCACTGAGCTAAATCTCCAGCCCCAACATTGGCTACTTTCAATCTTGAACACCTAGTTTGTTCCTATATCACATATGCCATTCTTCTGTCTCCTGCACCCACCTACTCCGTGATAGTCTTAGCTGAAAGGTAGCTGCTTCAGAAGGTCCTTTTCCCATCTAAAGGAGCCCTAGAACCTCAGGTACTAGCTGGCCCATTAATTTGATTAATTACCTGATGAATTACCCTGACTAGTTTCCCCTGAAGCACTTGAGCTTATCTAAAAATGGTTGGTTTGTCTTGTGTGTGACTCCAGGTACTGGGGATGGCTACAAAGGAGTTTTCTAATAATAAGAAATACCAGAGTAAAAAGTTATTAGAAGTCATCTACGCATTTCCCTGTTTTAACCATTACAGAGAGGACTTGGACTAGAGAATAAAAGTGACATGCCCAAGGAGTAGAAAAGGTCTCCCCAGCTCAGGGAAAGATGGGACAAGGCTAGAAGCCTGGACTCAAGAAGACCTGATCCTAGGTCTGGCAGTGCTGCTTATCAATTGAGTGTATGACCTTTGTGCTCTGCGCTATTTTTTTGTTTTTACCTTTGTAAAATGGGGATGGTGGTGTTTCACTCATGAGATTGTTGTGAAGATTGAATGAAGTGACACGTGTCTAGCACCCAATATGAGGCCTGGCAAAGTGCTGACATCTGAGTACTCGGTAGGGCCTTGGGGGATGGAGACAGTGATCCAACCACAGGTGGGCCCCAAGGAGCTCCTCTTACTCCCCGCATCCTACTTGCCAATCTGCCCTCTTCTAGGACAAGCAAATTGAACAGTTTCTCGACTCCGAACCCCTAATTAAAGAGGAGAGATGACATCCATGACTGATCATATAAACATTGCAGATTCCAAGTTCCCTTCTACTGCCCTAGTCCCCCTTTTCACCTCTCCCCACAAGCTATCTAAATAAGAACAGATTTTACCACCCACCTTGTGGGCAGACGAAGCTGAGGCTGGAACTAGCTATTTATCCTTTGGCTGCTGCAGGAATTCTGCACATACAAATAAAGGTCCTTTTCCAGCTAAGTGTGTATTTTTCCATCAGCATGTAGCCCCCCTTCCCAGGTTGTCTTGTTTGGGTTGGGGAAGCCTGAGGGAGGGAAGCACAGGGAGGGGGCTAGGGCTGTGGCTTCAGAACCTGCTCCCCGGAATGGATGGTTGCAGGGCAGCTTGCTGTTTTGGGCTGCACAGGCTGCCAGCGAAGCCTGGGACAATGGACACAGACATGCTATGCACAGAAACGCCACATTCTTGCTTCCTCCTTGCTTCCTGCTATGGCCCCCAGAGAGCACCCATCCCTCTCCAACTCAATTTCTATCAGGGACCACAGTTTCGTCCTGCACTCCCCAGCATCCCACTCCATGGTTTCTTCCCTGCATGTGCCTGTTTAGTCCATTTCTCTCTTTCCCTTTCATTCTCCCCCTGCTGCATGCTCTGGTTGTCCCAGGTACCTCCTACCATCCACCCCTGAGAGTCCTCTGGCACTCTTTCCCATCAAAGATCCCAATCAGTAGGTACCCTCTTCCACACTCAGTTTGTAAGAGAATAGTGGGCTTTACCCCTGCTCCTCCTGGAGAGGGGATGATGCAGAGAAGGTTTTGTGAAAGAAGGCTTCTTTTCCATGCAGTGGACAGAAATCCAACTCTCATTTCTGCAGACAGACATCACTGGACATCACTGCAGACAGACAGACACCCCTCGACTAGGTACAAATGCTCAAATAATGCCAACAGGATTTGTTTGTCCCCAAGTGGCAAGACAGACACCAGCAACTCTGCTGACAGTACTTTTTTTTAAAATAGTACTGTAGGTAAATAGGTAAATCCCATGGACTTCACGTTGAACTACATGACTTAATTCTTTTTCAGCTTTTTAATGTTGAGGCAGGATCTCACAAAGTTGCTCAGATGCCCAGGTTGGGCTCAAACTTGTGATCCTCCATCCTTAGCCTCTCAGAGTGCTGGAATTAAGGGCTGAGTACTTCTTATCAGCTCCATCACAGTTCTCATTCAGGTTCTCATTAAGTGGGCTTGGAATTTGAGCCTAGTCTTGGACCAGTCACCGTGGCCATGTAATAAAAAAGCTGACAAGGTAGGTCACATTCCCACCTCAGGAATGAGAGAGTGCTCATTTGCTCGCTTGAAGTCAGATGAATGTTACTAGAAGAAATGAAGTAGTGCCCGGGCAAGCAAAATAGTTATGCCTAACCTGAAGGAATAAGAAAATATAATGGGGGAATTTTGACCACTCTGATTGCCAGGGGAAAGCTTTATAAAGATGGTCAGGAGACTTGAGTGCCCTTTAAATTACATGATCTAGATATTTGTCTTCATTGTCTTCTTATAACAGAAAGAACATGCCCAAGGGCACGACAGAGACCTGGTAGACAAAATTTCAGAGTGACAGTTCTCAGGGCTATAAACAGCTGAATTCAGACAGGAGCCTATCTGTTGTTCTGTGTTGTTTGCATTCCCTAGTCATGTGGCCCCTTTAGATTGGGGAATAATAATTCTTTAGGAACATACTTAGTTTTTTTAAGTTCTCAATTTTTTTTTTAACAGAAATTAACTGATGTTAGGCCCCTTGAAAGGACTGAAGATACAACAAGGAATGAGGCCTTGTGGAAACTTTCAGCCAGACCTACTACACATTCTGAAGGAAGAGCCCTGTCTGCAGCCCTCACTCAGGGGAAACCCTAAACAGTTACACTTTGTTCAATATGGCCCTACCCAAACATACCCATTACCCATTTCCACCATGTGGTTTTAGGGACCAGGACAGGTACCTGGCTTAAGAGTGGTTAACCCACTATTTGGCCATTGCCTTTGTTTTTTTTTTTTTGTTTTTTTTTTTTTTTTTTGCAGTACCGGGGATCGAACACAGGACCTTGCATTTGCCAGGCAGTGCTTGCTTGACTGAGCTAAATCCTCAGCCCCCTGGCCATTGCCTTTTGATTTGGCTGGGCACAGAAAGAGAACCTGGCTAGTCAGTTTCATCATCTCTCAAAACGTTGCCCCAGGAAATACTGAGGCTTTGAACAAGAACAGGTATCAGTGAGGTACATATATGCAGAAGCCATGAATAAACTGTTAGTGAAAAAAAAGAAGTCAGCCAGTCACGATGGTGAACACCTGTAATCCCAGCACTTGAGAGGCTGAAGCAGGAAGACTGCCATGAGTTTGAGGCCAACCTGCACTACGTAGACTCTGTCTAAAAAAAAGAAGATATAATTAATTATTTCGACTTATTCACCAGTCCTAGAAATTTATCTTATATCAACACACGTGTGAAATGATACAAATACATGATAGCTTATTGCAGCACAGTTAAAATATGAGGCAAGCTAAATTTCCATGTATATGTGATGTATCTATAAAAAGTGATACATGCTGTTATAAAAATGAGAGCACTTTACTGATGTGGAAAGGTCTTTGAACTTAATTAGTAAGAAAAACAGAAGCATAATTATGGTATGCTAACTTTGGGTGAAAAAGGAAAAATAAGCACATATATGTTTCTTGCTTGTATACACATGTTTTAAAACTCCAGTTTCCTGGTTTATTTGTTTAAGACAAACATATAGAGCTGAAGTTGTCCTCAGACTTGTAACCCTTCTAACTCAGCTGCTCACGTTCTCAGTTTACAGATGGGTGCCACCCTGCTTGCCTAAAAAAACCAAACCAAACCAAATCAAACCAAGAAAACAAACAAAAAACCACTCTGGAAGGATATGTGAAAAACTAGTAACAGTTAATAGGAATGATAACCAGTGAAGATTTGGAAAGTGAGCAGAGACAGATGGAGAGCGACTGTTAAAACTTATGTTAGTGTATTACCTACTTACGTCATTGTATTACTTACTTAAAATGAAAGGTTTTTAAACAAAAGAGGATACGGAGGAAATGGTTGACTGTGGTTGAGAGGCAGACAAACATCAGAACAGGCCCTCTGGGGAAGCTGCTCATGGTGGGCACCATGATGACCATGTAGATTCCCACCAGCGGGAACTCAGACCTGACTCCAATCCAAAAGAGCCCTTGGTTAACAATCCAAGACCCAGCTCATTACTTTTCCTAGTCTTGCTTTGCTTGGATTTTGTCTCCCTTATTTCTTCACATGGATCCTCTTAAGAAACATGCACTTGGGACCAGGGATATGGCTCAGTGGCACAGTCCCTGCCTGAAAAGTGCAAGGTGCTGAGTTAGATTCCCAGTACAAAAAAAAAAAAACCATGTACTTACTAGAGTTCGGCCACAGATCTCTTTCCCCAATCCAGTCTGACAAAGACTGAGAGGGTTGGAATGCTCTGTCTTTAAGAAGGAGGGTGATCAGGTGTTCCAAAGGCATTATTTGTCCTCTTATAAGAGAGTTAGGTTTATGTATCAGATTCAAAAAAAAAGTAAAAAATTTTAAATGAAAGAACAAAGAGCTGGGCATCATGGTGCGTACCTGTAATTCCAGTACTCAAGACACTGAGGCAGGAGGATTGATGTGAGTTCAAGGCCAATGTGGGCTACAAAGTGAACTAAACTGCATACAAGATACTGTCCAAAAAAAAAAAAAAAGAATAGAAAAGGGAAAGAGATATTTTCTTAAAAAATGGAAGGAATGGGGAGGAGAAAAACAAAAATGCACCATTCTGGAGGTAGCATCTCATCCTTGTGATGTTTGTTGAACTCGTTCTCTTTTCCTTCCCTTGAGAAGAGGTCCTTGTTTGTCTTAGCTCTGAAGCAAGGTTCAGGAGAAAGGATTTCGAGGTAGAGTGGGTGAGCAAGTTCAGCCAAGAAGGATTCTTTGGTGTTCATGATATCAGGAAATCCCAGCAACAGACCTAGGTCTATCTGATAAGGTATTCAGGGTCTGAGTAACAGGAAGCCCAACCTGCTCAATTGCTTTCTTTAGACCATTCTTTCTGACTATTCTTTCTAGACCAGGGCCCAACACACAAGCAACACTTCAATACGGGTTCGTGAGACTGAATCTGACGCCTCAAATCTTCAGAATCTGAGCCTTCTGAGCTGCACCCCAGGTGCCCCAGAATGCACAAGATGGGTTAAGGAAGAGCTTTGCCCGTCATTTTACCCCTCACCACCTCTGGTCACAGAGGCAGGCAGCACAAAGGAGCTGAGGGACACATACAGTAGTTCAGTGGTGCTTTATTACACAGAAGAGCCCAAATATTTGCATCTTGACAATTCTTATATTTCACACAACTGGAGAGGGCATGGGACTGGAACTCAGAAGGGACACAGGTGTGCCGAGCAACGGGTGGAAACTTGCTAAACCAGTGCGGAGGTAGTTAGAGGGGACAGTGCCAGAGGGGACCAGGGCTTCAGTTACCTCCCACCATCCTTGCTTACTAGGAATTATTGTTACCATGTCCTTCTCCTCCTCTTTTATTTTTTACACCTTTATTCTTCCCAAAAAGAGCAAACTAGGAAGTTAGGAGAAGGCCCAGCTGTTAAGTCTGTTAGTCCACAGTCTTCCCATTTTAGCTCTGGGTTCTTTGGGTTCCTTGGAGGTCCCACCATAAGAAACTCCCCTTCATGAGTCAGTCTGAAAGGACACTGGTTGGTACCGGTGGCCAAAACATAGCACACGGAGTCCAGAGCAGCACATAACAGGTCAGACATTGCCAACATTTCCATCACCATCGCCTCCTCGTGGGGATTCTTTCCCAGGGACACCATCTTGGAAGATTTTGTCAACCAGACAAAATGCATGTATGGGCATTGAGCAACTTGGTTTTTGATTTTGTGATTAATCAATGACATATACAATTTTCATAATCTTTTGCTGAACACAAAGGAGTAACATACTGACTTTCTGGAAATTCAGTCGAAAACAACAACTGACCAAGCTTATTTTGGGTAAATGTACAATATCAACTAGACTTTTCGAATAATGAAAATGATTTATGGTAAATGCCTCCACTCCCTCCTCCCACACCTCTCTTGTGAACACAAAGTTCCACTGCAGCAAGTGCCCACATGTTTAGAAGTAGACCGGTGATAGCAATGCCACCCTAAAGCTCAAAGCTGAGAAGTATGGTCCACTTTTTCATAGAAGAAGCCACCTTTGGGGGCACAGCTTCTAAAACTCCTACACCTCCAACACATGACCTTTCTATCCTACCTCCAACCCAACTGCTCAACTACAAGGGGAACAATACCCACATGGGGAGAGGGCCCTTAGCAACTTCCTAGAAGTCAAGGCTCCCCAAAATCACACCAATTTTGTCATCCTTGGGTTATCTCAGAAAACTTTTTCCTGATAAGAATTATCAAATCTTATGCCCAAAGTTAAGTCTCTCCATCAGGGGATCTTGATCAGCCCTGGGCAAATAGAGAAAGACAAGGTCCTTAAACAATTGATAAAGAAATGTGTCATCACTTGAGTGCCAACTGAAATTGACCCCAAGGAATTTTAAAGTCAGCATATTGAGCTTCAGAGTCTGAAAGAGTCCAGATACTCAACTAGTCAAGTAAGATTTAGAGATGTGTCAAGTTCCATGAGGTCTCTTGCCTCATCCCTCCACCCCAGTCTAGGCAGCCTTGTTGACTTATGTCTCCCTGGGAGACAGCAATGCTAAAGTTTTGGAGATAATAATAGGTATTCCATGAAGACAAAAACTTGTCAAATAGATTATGGGGAACTCACCAGGTTAAACACAGTCCAATAGATTTTACTGTTGCAGGAATTTTCAGGGCCTTTACTATGCTGCGATGCCCTGGGGATCTCTAAAAAGGGGATACAATGTGTCATCTCTTCCAAAGCTGATTTGATAGCAAGTATTTTTGCATGACCTATATCAAGACCATAAAACACTTTTCATATCCCTTCTACGAGTTACAGGAGAGAGGCCAAACGCCTTTGGTGTTTCCTTTCCAGACCTATTGAGTTCTCCTGTCCACTGTGCCCTGATCCTGATCCTATCCTGGTCCCTACTCCACTTTTATTTCCATCACTTCCCTTAAGCCAAGTTTCAGGTCTCTGGCCCACAGCTTTGGACATGACAGGGAAGAGGCCAGCAGTGAAGATGAAGCCCTCAAGGTAATGGCCACAGGAGAGAGGAGACTGGCGGGGCCAGGACCTGAGCCAGCCTGCTGTGGGTGGCACTATTGAATTTTGGTTGTATGTATTTATTTCGTAAGCAGCCATCATTCACGGAGTGGGAAAAGAGGGAAGCGAAGTGACAGAAGAGTGTGGAGGGTCATTTATAAGTGTGAGGCAAAGGCTGAGCCAGAGGGCCGTAAGACCCCACTGACTGAGGAGCCCCCTCCTGAGGCTCCCTCTGCTCGCAGCAGCAGTTCTCCATCCAGGGAGGGCTGCGGGGTCCCAAAGTGGGTCCCCTCAGGCTCTGCAAAATGACTTCCCTCCAGCCTGGGGGCCGCTGGCTGCTGATAGGAGATGAGGGTCACTGAGGGGAAGCCATAGGTCTCCAGCCCAGGACGCCGTCCAGCCTCAGAAGCTTCCAGGACGAGATCCACATCAGAGAAGGCCACCAGAGCCTGGGTGGAGTCGCAGGAGCTCTTCTCCAGCTCACCGGCAGCAGCATAGGCCAGGGGGCCAGGGGCTCCCGACCAGGGCCAGAGCCTCCTTAGGTCATCCCGGAAGTGGGGGTTGAAGAGCAGGTAGAGCAGGGGATTCAGGCAGGCAGGCAGAGGCAGCACCACGAGCAGGACCGACTTGAGGGCCTCGGGGGTGACCGGGAAGAGGCTCAGCACGGAGGCGAAGCTGAGGAAGGCCACGGGGCAGTAGAGGAGCCCATCGGTGAAGATGAGCCAGGCCACGTGCCTCACCATGGCGCAGTCCCACACACACTCGAAGTCACCCCGCGGCAGGTCACAGTAGAGCCTGATGTAGGCGCCGGTCACCACGAGGAAGCAGAAGGAGTTCAACATCACCAGGGCCACGGCGAGGCCCAGGGCGGCCGGCTGGCCATCGGGCGGGGCGTAGGGCAGGCAGAGCGGGGAGGCGCCATAGTCCCCAACTGAGGCCAGGGGCAGCGCGGCGGCCAGCGCGGCCAGCGCCAGGCACAGCAGCGCCCCCGCGCGCACGCTGCCCAGGGCGGGCGCCTTGCCGCGGGCGCGCACGCAGGCGGCGGACAGGCTGCACTGCACGGCCGCCAGCGCCAGCAGCAGCACGGCCGCCTCGGAGCCCAGCACCGCCAGGAAGCCCGTGGCGCGGCAGCCCAGCCCCGTCTCCCAGTGCGCTCCGTACTCGGCGAACTGGCCGAAGGTCACGGCGTCCACGGAGGCCAGGAGGCCGCAGGAGACGCCGGTCAAGGTGTTGGCACCGGCAATTGCACCGACCACGAACTTGACCGGAGGCAGGGGCCCGGGCCCGGCGGCAGCAAACACGGTCAGCAGCACCAGTCCGTTGCAGAGCACAGAGAGCAGCGCGATGGCCCATACGGCCAGGCGGATGCCCCAGCTCTCGAAGAGGTGCTCACAGGGCTTGAAGGGGCCTGCAAGAGAGAGAGAGAGAGCTGGCATTACCCAGCTACTGGGGTTGAGGCTACTGGGATCCAGCGGAGGCCAGCCTTTGTGCTCAGAGGACCATCACCCTACTCCGACCCCCACTCCCAGTCCGAGGGAAGAGGAACACAATTCCCACCCTCCAATAACTCCTGATCGCAGTGTGGGGAGACACGATGGGGACATATACAGCTCTCCTTTCGAGGAGCTGCAAATAGGTTAAACACGACGCCACTCCTGAACCGTGTAAAAAGTGTACAAACACCAAGTTGGTGCAGTGCAAATCCAGGCATCGAAGAAATGTTCAGTAAAGCAGTCTTTCCAGCAGAGCACCATGTGGAAGGATGGAAGGGACTAAGAAGAGGGATGGTGAGGAGAGGACAGGGCGTTAGAGCTGGGATTGTGGCTAAGGCTCTGCCCAGTGATCACTAAGGACTCTGCTGACCAGAAACAGTACCAGGCTGGCTCTCTGCTCCTGTGTGAGAGAGGTGCAGGGCACATTTCCTGTTGCTTATTCCCTAGTCAATCAGTGTTTGGGAGGTAAAACCAGTAACCAAAATACAGACTTCTTGGGGTTTTCTCATCTGACTTCATTAGATGGGTGCGATTCTGGTGTTTTCCATTTCTTCTTCCAGAGTCTATTCTTAAATCACCTTGTAACTTTGGATCTACTATTTCATTTCCTTTGGCTTCCGACTCTTGTTTCTCAATGTATTTCTAGGTAGCTTGGGAATTTGAGAGGTTATTTGAGTGAGTGCTATTTTTAAAACATTTTTTCTGATTATGAAATAATAGATGGTAATTGCAGAAAAATTTTTAAAAATAATAGGGAAAAGTCAAAACTGCTTATGACTTCATCTCTCAGAGAACTCATGGTTTTGGTATGTTTCTAAAAATACATATATACCTACAGATTTTAAAACTAAGTTGGGGTTTGCTGTAATATCCTTTTATTATTCTCATAAGTTAAATTTTGTTATGCATGCTTTCCCATGTCCTGGAAAATATTTTCAATGGCTGTGTAATAAATACTCCACCATATGATGTACTGTAATTTATCTGATCATTTGTATGATCTATTTTAAAAGCAAGTTTAAATTGGACCTTGTTTTTTGGAACCCCTCTTACACCTCACTCCCTGTTGATTACTGGTTTTCATAGGTAAACTTTCTGTGTCTGTGTGAACAAAAACATGTGGGTTTCCAAATCAAAAAGAAAACCCCTGCTTTCTCTAAGCTGCATCAGGGCTCTGGTCCAAGCTGGCGCAGCAGTGTGCTGTTGTCCCTGAGTGCTGAGAGCTGGTATTGGGCCAGCACCACTGGCTTGAGAGGAAAGGGGGGAAAAGGTCAAGTGGCCTGAGCCAAGGGAAGATCGAAACCTGGGGAATGGAGGTGGGATGAAACAGAAGCAGTAAGCTGTTTGCCGGTTTCTGTTCATGCTGAACAAACAGTTCCTGGTCTGGCCTAAAAAAGCTGCTGCTGGCTTCTGGCATAGCCTGCAAGCATTTTACACACAGAAAGGGGACCTCTTCACTGAAGCATCTTAGGTTGAATTCCACCAAGGAGGAAGGGGATTTTCTTTTCTTCTCAGCAAAATGGATTTAGGTTAGACTTTAGAGAGCTTTCTTCAGCTGTAAGGGTTAGATAGTATGGTAGGAGTTATCCAGGGACACTGGAGTTTTTCCATCCTGGAGCATTTTAATAAAGAAAAAAAAAATGCATTCTTTCTGGGATGAAGCAGAGCAGGCCGGGGAGGGTGACATTTCAGAGTCCCACTGAGTTCTGATTCTGTGCGGGTCTTAGGCCAAGGAGGTGACCAGAAGCAGCCCCATATGCCTCCCTGAGCAATGGAACCAAGATATTCTTTCTTGCTTCTCCATGCAAGTGGTTTCTTCCACAGGCTGAACCTCTAGTTGACTGTTTGTAAAGGTTGCCAGGCTCCCCCTCACTCTCAGCCACACTGCTCCTCACAGGTAGCCACCCAAGGGAGAGAATGCCAACTCCTTTCCCAAGAATTATGAGAAAAGGCCCTCGCCCAGTGGGTGGGCAGCAGATAGAATAAGTCCTTGAAGCTTGGCTCCAGACCTGCTAGTTTAACTGCGGTCACCCAAGTAGCAGGGTGCCACGTCCTCAGCCCCTTCCCCTGCTCCCCAAGCTTCCATCTCACCTGGAATGGGGCTACACTGGACACTAGGTTGTGGCTTTGAGTTCTGCATTTCCAGCTGGAGCTCATCCAGGTCCAGGTCATCTAAGGGGGAACAAGAAAGTGGCTCGGGCTTTGGGTCATGGCATCAGTTAAGCCCCACCTCCTTGTTAAGTCCCACTTGTTTGAACAGATGTGCCTCTGACTAACTCTGCTCAGTACTGGTCATCCAGCAGCTCTGCATATCTATTTCTAACCCACGATGTAAGTATTTAATCATCTCTTTATTATTCATGTGTAGATTATATGCATCACTGATTCTGTACTTTTCATTCAGACTTGCTCTTTCTGTCACTCAGCATTCTCCTGAGCCGCCTTCTGGCTTTACTTCAGAAGTGCTCCTCAGAGTTTGGGATGGTACCTGACCTTAATAATGGGAGATAGAAATCACACGTTCTCCACTCTGGCCAGGATGTCATTGCAATTTCGTATGAACAATACACTAAGAAGGAGATAAGTAAGCAGTAGCGTGTTGACAGGTTAACCAAGGACAGTGAGGGAGTAGAAGTTCCTTAATTGTAAGAAATAATCACAATTAACTGGGGGATATTTAGCTTGCTTATGAAGGAGACTCTTACATGCTGTTTTGTCCCGGTGTGTAGAACATCAATAGATGCATTGTAGAAGACGGCAGACTGAGGTTCAAATAGAGACATTCTAGCCTCTTCCTACCATGAACAAGCTCCTACAATTACATGTCCAACAAAGGAACACCCCACCTTTAAGAGGTGCCCAGTGGACCCATGTGGCTGAATACAGTACCAACTATATTTGGGCACTGGACAAGTGGAAAGGGAGTCAGGATGAGTAAGATACAGTCCTGCTCTTGGAGTGTTTATGGTGATAATCAAGGAAACAAATCATGATGCTACATTAACTAATAGATGGACTCAACAAAGATGAGCGTTCCTTTTTATCTTATTCTTTCTGTGACTCCTCATCTTCAAGGCTGCATTAACTGGTGACAGACAAGGAGACTGAAGGCTGGTGACAGACAAGGAGACTGAAGCTTGTCCCCAGTCTCACAACCAGTGAGTGACTGACCCAGAATTCAAACACAGATTTGTCTGACCACGGAGCCCAGATATTTATTTACTCATCAGGGATGGACTTGTAATTTAGGGAGGTTCAGGAATGGGAAGGATTTAGGGAGATGTACAGATGCATAAGCTGGGAATAATTTGTCAGTGGAGACATTGAAGCAGAAAATTCTCAAAGTGAGAGAGGGTGCTTCTACTCTGAGTGACATGTTAAACTAGATAACTATTAATGTTCCTTTCAATTCTAACATCATATGAGATTTCTTTTTCCTCATTTACAGTTGGAGGTTTGTTTGTTCCAGTTCTGGAGACTGACTCGAAGATCTTGTGCACATTAAGCAAACGCTTTACCCCAGAGCCATATCCTCAGCCCATTTCAGTACCTCTTCATTTGTGAACTTCAGGAGGTTATGGATATCTCAGGGATTCAGAAATTCTGTGAGAGGGCTGGGCATAGTGATACATGCCTGAAATCTTACCACTCAGGAGGCTGAGGCAGGAAGATTGCTGCAAGTTCAAGACCAGCACGCACTACATTGTTCAAGATCAGCCTGAACTGTATAGCAAGACCCGGTCTCAAAAAACCAAAATAAAAAATAAAAATAAAATAAATTCTGTAAGAATTTTGAAAGGACTAAGGATATAGTTCAGTGGTGGAGCACTTGGGTTTAAACTAGCATCACAAAACAAGCCAATGGGTTTAAACTAGCATCACAAAACAGTTTTTAAAATTGTTTTAAAGTATAAAACTTAAGTTTCTCAAGTGAGACTGGGAAAGTTGTCTGAGGACCAAGTAGGGTGAAAGAACTGTTTGTCTTTAAAAGTCACTTCTACACTATTCAGGATCAAGAGTGCTCTGTGGCTCTTCCCCCATCCTAAGAGGATGGGCAGGTGACTCTGCTGCTCTTTCCCGGAGGGGTCTATTTCCTGTGTGGGTCCTCCCCACTTAAAGGGTAGGCACTTTGGGCTGGGGGTTTTCCCAGGAAGCTGGAAGACTGCGGAGCGCAGCACCAGGGCAGGTAGGAGGCTGAGGCGTGTCCGCAGAGTCCTGGCATTTCCTTGCCTCTCTACCTCAGTCCACACTCCCACCCCCGTGCTCTAGAATGGAGCGCACCAATTCTTTGAAATCAAAATGCGTGAATGAAATACAAGGGGCGAAACCCATAGACTGTCTGAGGCTGGGAAAGTCACAGCCAAGGTGTTAAGTAACCAGTCTTCAAACAAGGAGGAAATCGAATCTGGCTGGAGCAGCAGCTCCTGGCTTTCCTTCTGGAGGTTGAGTCGCTCCCACAGGAAGTTGGGGGGGCCCTGCCTAGCTCCCATTACAGGCAGCAGGCAGCCCACGAGCTTGACGTCCTGTGGTTCTCCAAGACCTAAGCCCGGTGGAAAGTTTCACCTTGAGGAAGAAAAATTTCCACTCCTCCTTCCAACCCCCTGAGGGAGTGTGCAGCAGACATCCGGGAATGTCCCCCCGGGACAGCCGTCTGCTGGCCCAGCCAGCTGCTGGCCTCCTCCACCTCATGTCCTGTACCCTCCCTGGGAGGTGCTTGGGTACACAGTCAGAGAATCCCCCACTGCTTGCCCAACACAGCGCATGAGAGAGGTGTATTATCTCGTATTTAAAGATAAGGAGTTTGAGGCTCAGAAAGCCTCCATAAGATTAAATAACTTGTCTAAGGCAACCCAATTGGTCAATTGTATAATTGGATTCAGATTCCATTCTGTCTACACCATCATGAAATGGCTTTCTTACATATTAAATTTGATTTTTCGGACCAGCTTCTTCACTGAGATATTGTAGAAAGGAAGTTCAAAGTAGTAAAAGGACTCTAAGAAGCAGGGCTCTCTGTCTTTCCCTCCTGTCTCTACAGGGAGAGGAAAACATTCCTTTTCACCTTTACCTAATGATCAGTTAGCAGGTGACCCTTCAAAACAATCTTTTACTTTTACCCAACTCTTCAGACACAGACCAGTCTGGCTCAAGACTCTGTGAGGTCTTCTTGATCCCTGAGGTGTCACTGAGGTGTCATTCTCAGATTCACAGGCAGACTGGAGGCACAGGATGGCCTCAGAGATTGCTAATCCCTGTAGTGTTCCTTTTTGGTCCAGAACTCTGTGAGGGTTAGGCTTGATCCTGTTAACTTGATTGACTTTGGGATCTTCCCAGGTGATTGGTGGAGCACACTTCTGGGTGTGTCCGGATGGGGCTTGGAGGCGTGGCCTTGGGGATCTCTGGTTCCTGGCCCTTTCCTCTGTTTCCCAGTGCTGCTTCCCGACAGCCGTGAACTAGGCATCTTGCTCCACTAGGTTTCTGCCTTGGAGCCAGCTGACAGCAGAGTGACTCCCCTTAAAACATAAGCCGACTTAAACTTTTTCTCTTTCAAGTTTGGATGTCAGGTATTGGTTCCAGCAATGGGAAAATTAATAAACACCAACACACTGTGAGGGGATTTCATTTTTTCTGGAAGCAAGTCTAATTCAGTTGGTTTGATTGAATCCTATGTTTGACTCAAGGTGATGAACCAATGAGTCTGTCTTCTCTAAAATTGCCGAGTTGGGGGGCCCCAGAGACTAGGGAGCATCATGGAGAAGCAGAATGTGAGCCACAAGAGTGCCAGTATTGAGACAGATGGTGAGATAGAGTAATTGTGAACTCGAAGGCTGGGCCAGTGTGGGACATTACTATTCTTACTCTTCCCCAGGCACCTCTAAGATGCAGCTTTGAAGAGACAAAGTAGAAGCATTGGCAGAGACCCTCCCAGGTCCCAAGCACCCCGCCACCACCACCACCAGGGCTTTTCTCTCTAGTCCCTGTGACCTCTTCCCAGGTCTCCCCCGCTTCCTCTCTGACTTCTGCCATAGTCCCAGTAACCAGGTGCCAGCCCAGGGCCTCCAGACACTCACAGTGGGTCTCAGCTTGTCCAGTAAGGAGGCCCATGGGCTTCTTTGGGGCCTCCTCCTCCTCCAGGTGGAAGTCGTCAGCCTGCCACTGCCCAGAGCCCTTAGTGAAGCTGGCACAGGCACCATAGGCACAGCACTGGTAGGCATAGGGCACCTCCAGGATCCTAGCCGAGGAGAAAAAGGCAGCTTCAGTGTGTGTAGAGTCTAAGATTTTAGTGAAAATGAAAAGAGCCCCAGTTCAAGAACTGAGCACTCAGCACCTGCCCTTCAACCCTACAGTGCCCTGCTCCCTGTGCCAGCAGCCTCCTGGGCTTTCTTTGTGAGAGTCTTGCAGCCTAACTGGACTCTGAAGACTCTGGACGTAGTCCAGTTCTCTCCTCATTCATCCTTAGGACTGAGGTGGGAGAGAGAAACCTTCAGCCCAGCAGGCTCAGAAAGGCCAAAAGCCTCTCTGAGGGCACATAGTGTGTGCTGGGTATCAATGTTTCCTTTAGGGATGCTCCTAGAGAGCCTTACCGTTTCCCTCTGTGAGACCCACAGCCGGTCTCCCACCCTTTCTGGGCACATCAGAGTTGGATTTGGTGCCCTCTGAGGGTGAGGGCAGATGCCTTGAGCATCTCATTAGCTTGCAGCAGATGGGGCTTGGGCCACACAGGCTGCGCTGCTGTCACTGCTGCAGGAAAGGGTCTGGATGTCATTAGCACCAGGGACTTGCTGTGTAGCTTGTTTTCCACTCATCAGTGCCCTGGGCTGTGCCCTGATCCCAGGGGCCAGATGCTGCCCACGTGATCACGGGTAGTCCGGCTGCGTGGGACCAGGCACAGGGCCCTTTGCATTGCTTCTGTCCTCACAGGTGGTTTCTTGGGGTGAGGTAAAATGGTAAAAGGAAGGAGTGGTGTGTACCGGCCACAGCCAGGTTGGGGGGTCAGGCGAGCCCTTCCCGTGCAGTCCTGGTCACGCTCTGAACCACCACACTCTTCTTGGGCTGAGGCCCTGTGGCTTTCTCCATGTCCCCCATGCCCGTCATCCGACCAGCAGCAAACTCCACAAATGTGGAGGCTCTCACCTCAGTCTTGGGAAACTGTCCTTGGAGAAGGCCTGAGACAGAGCAGGGTTCCCTTTGAGCTTCAGATGCATCAGGCCCCCAAGCCCGGCCAAGGGTAGTGTGGTCAGCTGGTTGTCTGTCAAGTCCCTAGGACAGTGGATGGTCAGGGTTATTGGCAGTCAGTGGGGTTGCTGAGGGGGCAGGGCTGTGCTGAGGGTGTGGCCAGTGTGCCTGGGATGGAAGCAAGAGGAGAGGAGCAAAGGACAGAAGATAAGCACAGAGAGAAGACAGCATTCCACGCTAGGGGAAGAGTACACAAAAGTTGCTAGAGGCACCATCTATAATGCATTCATCTATTCATTATTCATTCAGCAAACACTGGAATCCATCTATGTACCAAGGACTGTTCTAGCTTAATGCTAAAATGTTCCAATTTGAAGGTAACAACCACACCCCAGCTCTTGTGCTCAGTCTAAATTCCATTCCAGCACCCTTGCCCGCCACCCGCCACCCGCCACCCAGGAACCTAGCTGCTGTTTGCCTCTTCCCTCTATCTCTCCTCTGCTTCTCTGATGACTCAAGAAGCTGGAGCTGAGGATAAGCAAGAGTTGGCTACAAGTGGAGAGTGGGTCATTCATTTTGCCTGGCTGTGCCCACCTCATAGCCAGAGGTGAGGACATACGTAGTCTTTTACAGGAGACGGACTAGAGGAAACCAGGGCTCCAAAGCAAACACCAAGACACAGCCAGCATGTCGTGGAAAGAGCTCTAGCTGGGAGGCGGGAGACCTGGCACTGTCAGCCTCTCCAACATGCTCTGTAACCAGAGGGCGTCACAGGTCTGCCTGAGTTGCAATGTCCTCATCTTTCAAAGGATAAAAATATCTGCCCTACCTATCTGGCAGGAGCAGAGCAAACAGGAGAGGGAAGATGGAGGTGTGGGTTTTGCAAAGCTGTGGCCCAGACCCAGAGAGCCGTAGCCTGGGGAGGGACCATGTACCACCAGGAACTCTGGGCTCTGGATGCTTGCCTTGGAGCAAGCTTTTGCCCCTGGCCCTTGGAGACATCACTGAGGAGTGAGGGGCTTGGTTTGGATTCTCTGAGGTCAGGCTTGGGCCATCCCGGAGGAGTCTTTGAGAGAAGCCATTTCTGGATGGATATGGCTACTGGACACACAGTCAAGGAGCCATGTAGGATGTCAGCTCCCCTTTGGGCAGGAACTTTTGTTTAGTTAACAACCTGCACCACACTGCCTGAGAGCCCCCTCAGAAGCCCTTCTGACCCTGATATAATGACCACATAGCAGAATGGCACATTTCCTGTTTGCATCCCATGTAATTTAGAGGACCTGTGGTCCCCTGCTGCCCTGCAGAATGGCAGTCCTGAGAGTAGTGCTCAAGCAAAGGACTCTCAAGCACTCTGAGACCCTGGCTCCCACATAAGCCACTACCCTCTTGCATGAGGAGTGCCAGGCCCACACACTCTGTACTGGTGCATGAAGAAGGTGCAGAGTCTGGGGTAGGTTGGGCCAGGGATCACGGGGAGGTCCAGGTCTGCCAAAATGTTGCAGAACATTAACAGATGATGTCCCAGCGCTTGTGGGAGGCAGACTGTGTTTATCAGGCTCCCCAGTCTGTCAAACAGACTGTCAGAATGATTGATTAAGCTGGCGCCCATCTCCCTAGGATATGTGGTCAAACACTTATGGGTGTCCCTCCTCAGGGGTGGCCCCTCTTCCCCCTCCCCACCAGCCCACATCTTTAGTTGGTTCCCAGTATCCCGGAGAAGCATCGGCAGCCACTTACAGCTTGACCAGGGAGTGCAGAGTGGAAAAGGCCTCCGGGTGGATGGACCGAATGGAGTTCCAGCTAAGGTCCCTGCAGACAGAGAGCATGTGATGAGAGGACAGTGACCCATGGAGCACTGGTTGCTCCCAGTCTGGGCTCTCCCTCACGTACTCCACATCTGATGTCTCCAGCAATAGTGAGCTTAGCCTCTAAGGGACCTTCGTGTATACTTTCTGCTGTCCAACTGCCAATCTGGTTGTGGGCCTCAGAACAAGGACCTAGCAGCTTGGCTCCTGAGGTTCATGGCCCCCTGGGTACCAGCTGGAGAAGTGGCTCACGTACCCCTCCGGATGGCAGTGTGTGCTGGGGAAAGGGTTATGGAGCAGTGAGGTGACGTGACTGTCATGAGTTTACACAGGATGTGTGTGCTTTGGGTACAAGTCTGCCAGAGGGACACAGCGGCTCTTCCATGACCCACCCCTGGACACTGCAGGTACTTACAGGGCTTGTAAGGCGCTCAGCTGGCTGAAGGTGTCCGCTCCAATTTCCCAGATGCGGTTGTGTTGGAGGCCACTGGGGCAACAAGAAAGGCTGGATGAGCCCGCAGGCTCACACTCTGGCTCTGCTCCACAACTCCCAGCACTGGGAGGAAGAAAAGAGAGCCCCCACTTCTCCTGGCACAGGAAGAAAGGGCCCAGCCCGCGGAAGTCACCAGAATTAAAGGGAACACAGGGGGATCCGGTTGCCTTGGGTAAGTGGGTCAGGAGACAAAGCCACAAAACCATCCCTGTGGCCCAAAAGGGAGTTGGCTTCCAGCGTTCCCACCGGGCCTGGCTCTCAGCCTAGCTGAACTGCGCTCCACTCTGCCCTTCCGCATGGGTCCTCAGTCCCTAGCACAGCAGCCGGGCATTGCCCAGCCCTTGGGTGGCCTGAGGGGCTGGGTTGAGCTGAGAAGCAGAGCTCAATGTCCAGGTCATAGGAGATGGACCCTGGGCCTCAGCAAAAAGAGCCCTTTTTCCGTTGTCACCCAGACAAACAAGACAGACCCCGGTATCTCTTTCCTGGTCTCCGAAAGCGCTGCTCTGCCTAGAAGCAGGTACCTACCCTGGGAGGCTCAGGAGGCTGTGGGAGCTCGAGAGAGCAGGAGCTGGGTGAGCAGGACTTAGAATTTTTAAAGTGGCTTTATTCCCTGTGAAACTCACATCTCATGTTTATCTCTCTCTCTCTCTCTCTCTCTCTCTCTCTCTCTCTCTCTCTCTCTGTGTGTGTGTGTGTGTGTGTGTGTGTGTGTGTTTAGGGAAATGTGAAAAATAAGAGCGCATGCTCCAAGATGCAATGACTCCAGCGCCCCTGAAGCCTTGTGTCCAGTCCTTCGAGCCCTGATATGGTCCTGCCCCATCACTGCCACACTTCTGTGCTGCCGTTGAGTCCCACGGAGCTCCTGGGTCTCTCATCTGCTGTGTGAGCTCTGGGGTCATGGCCAGGCCTCTGCCAAGCTCCCACCCCTAAACCCTGGGCTCAGCAAACTCCAAGAAGGAGAAGTGCAGTGTGCTTTCACCTTTTCTGCCCGCCTCCCCTCAGGCCTGCCCAGCTCTGGCTTGTGCACCTGTCCCTCCCCAGCCCCTAGACTCACATTTCCTCCAACTTCTGACACCTGTGCAGGCTGGGCAGCTCCTCGATCTGATTGTAGGACAGCTCCCTGGAAGAGACAGGAAGCCCAGGGCTGAGGCGAAGCCTCAGCATGGGGTGGGGAAGCAGCTCTGGCTGTGCTTTCTTGTTAAGGGGCTGAAGGTCATGGGGACCTGCAGGGCGGTGGCTGTCTTGTACCAGGGCATCAGCTTCCTCAGGTAGATTCTTCTTCATGTCCCCCCTGCTGAGTCCCTCCTCACTGGGTCTGGGCAGGGCTGACTCAGCTTTTTTTTTTTTTTGGTACCTGGGGATCAAACTCATGACCTTACACTTACCAGGCAAGCATTTATGCCACTGAGCCAAATCCCCGGCTCTGATTTGGCATTTTTTTCCCAGCAAGGCTGCCTTCCCCACAGGAAAGCCTGATGGCCCCTGGGAGCATTCTGGGGAAAGTGGAGTAGGGAATGACAGGACGTGGGGACAAGGAGAGAGGCAGAGAGATGCAGGGCAGGGAGACAGCCAGCAGGGCGCACATGTGTCACTGAGCAAGCCTTCAATGCCAACCCAAGTAAACAGCACCCATATCACCACTTAAAAAGTTGGCGGGGCCTTAGAGAGCATCTGGCCCTGCCCTTTCCTTAACAATTGAGGCACTGAGGCCCAGGAACAGCCCTAGGATTCAGTGTCAGTCAGTGGCAAGGCCCACATTTCCAGACACCCAGGGTCAGAGTACCCATGGTCTCTGTGTAACTATGGTCCCTGGTGAGGAACCTCAGATTTAAATTGGAGTCAGGGAAATAGAAAAATCCCCCTTGATTTACCTTACAGGTCACTTAAGTATTTCCTTCAGCAGTCCCAGAAGCAATTAACTTTTTTGTACATATTATAGTATGCCATTTGTTGATCACCTACTATGTGCCAAGGCCTTTACATATATTTTTCAACCCTCACAAATTTATTTGCATGTTTTAGATGAGGAGACAGAGGTTCAGAGACATTAAAGTGTGACTCCAAATAAGTACAGCCAGTGAGGGGCCTAACTGATCCTCAAACAACCCAAGTCTGACTCCAAAGACCCATCACTGGGTTTTTGTCTTGAACAAGAGAGGGTGGGTGGCTCGGCCCCACTTGGGCAGGTCTCAGCAGAAGCCTAAACTGCTGTGACTGAGTAGATAGAAGCAGGAGAAGCTTTTTCTGGGGCATGATGCCAGGACTGTGGAATGCTTTTGAGCCACTCACAGGACTCGGAGCCTGGGCAGCTGTTGACATATCCCTGGTGGGAGCAGCTGGATGCCCGCGCGGGTCAGGGTCCTGCAGGGAGAACAGAGACAGAGCTGGCACCAGTCCCAGGGCCCTGTCATTCCCAGCCACCCATCTCCAGCTCTGGATCTGATACTGTCCTGGGAGGACAGAGCTGACAAAAGACAGAATTAATGGGAGAGACAAGGCAGGGGGTGGGGTTGTGGGGAATGGAGCAGGCAGCCCCTGGCATCAGAGTGCCAAGCTCCCCTGGGGCTGGAGGAACTGGCGTAGGAAGTGCAGAGAAAGAGGACCTCAGCCCGGGGGGCTCTGGTTGGCAGGCAGACTTGCAAGCCCAGCCCCACCGATTCACCCCCAGCCCATTCCCACCCCATCTCTCATAATGGTCTCCAGCAACACTGGACCAGTGGGACCTGGACTAAATCTTCTGTGCTCTAGGGGCTGTAGGGAGGAGGATAACCATGACAGGGAGCAGACAGAAAAAAAGCTCCAGTGGAATCATGGGAACAAAACACAGAATTTGCTCCCTGTGCCTTGGGAGAGGGAAAAGAGAAGGGAAAGAAAGAAAGACCCAGGGTGGAGAGGGCTGTGAGGGCAAATGGGAGAATGAGCTTGGCTTAGGCACAGGGTGTCCTAGGAAAGACCCAAGGCCAAGGTCATCCTTGGGAAACTGTTGTTCCCCTCATGGAAAATTTTCGGCATGCCAGCAACTCTGGGGCAAGACAATAGAGGCACAGAGCAGAGTTCTGTCCCAGCAACACTATGAATGAGCAGTGTGATGTGAGGCAGGGAGATGACTTCTTGACTCTCTGGTGTTTGTCTGATTATTTCATTCATTCACTTAAAATGCATTGAGCGCCTACTATGCACTGCCACCCCTTCCCTCCTCAGGATATAATAATAGAGAATCTGAGAAGGCCTTTGTTAGAAACAAGCCTCAGAATGACAAAAGAGGTGGGTTTTCACAACCCTTGCTCCCTGCCTGTGTCTTTGGTGTATGCATGGCCTGGGTTAGGAACTCTGAAGTCAGGTCTGAAAAATCCAAGCACAGTGAAGAGAGGAAGGCCAGCCTCTCACCCCCATCCTGCCAGCCCCAGCCCAGCTTGGAGGCAGTACTGCCTCAGGAGATGACCTCAGCCTGCTGCAGGCCACATATCAGGAGACAGGGCACAGTTTTCCAGGACATGAGGTGGAAGAACTCCTGGGAGAAGATGGGGAGACAGAGCAGGTGGAAGGAGAGAGCATCTACTCACAGGATCTCCAGGCTAGTGGTGCCTTTGAGGTCTGGGAACTCCCGGATGTCTGTGGCACCATTCAGGGATCTGGAAACAGAGACAAGCTTGGAGGGTGGGTCAAGGCATCTCAACATCTGGATTCTTAACCATAAAGGACTCTATTTTTTAGGAGAATGTTATCTTTCCACAGCCTTCCCCAAAGCAGCCACATTGGCCCTGGTGGAGGCTGAGTGGTACACAGAAGGCTTCAAATAGCCATTTTCTTAGGTTGGCTCAGTCAACCTTGCCCAGATTGAGCCAGGCAACTTCAGTATTGCAACGATAAGAACAAAAACAAGGGGCTGGGGATTTAGCTCAGCGGCATAAGTGCCTGCCTTGCAAGCAGCCAGTTGTGAGTGCGATCCCTGGTACCGATTAAAAAAAAAAGAACAAAAACAAAAGACAAGGGATATGGAAACTTGTGTTGAAAATCTTCTAAGAAGGTCCTTGGCTGCTGGGTTAGCTTCTTAGAGCTTGAGGGAGAATCTCTCCTAAATAGCCACCTGTGGCAGCTTTATTTGACCTCTTAAAGACTGCTTTAGACTGATGGTTTTCCCTGTCACCATTCCCTATCATAGAGAGGACATGGAGCTTGCACACAACAGGACCACAAACAAATGAGATCCTGAGAAGACAGCAGTGTCCAACAAAGAGCCTGGGATCAGAATGGGGGGACCTGGGTTCACATCTGGATAGTACCGGAGCACCTCAAGTTCCATCTATAGAATGGGCTAGTAGGAGCCATCTCCCACAACTGGGATGAAGATGGAATGCACGAAGGAACATGAAGCAGGTGCTTTGAAGGCATCAGCTACATTACTGTGAGGCCACAGTGCGGAGAGCGATCCACGCATGCTTTTTTGAAGAAGAGAGACTTGGCTGAGAATTGAAAGATCAGGGGAAAGGAAAGGAAGGTAAGCCTTTAGGCCAAGTATGTTAGAGACCACAGTAAGAGCCCCAGGAGCTGTCAGCTCAGCAGGAATGCAGGGCACAACTTCCATGAGCAGGGCAACCAGAGCAGTCAGGTAAAACGCTTCAGTCGTGGAGAAGGTCTCTTTATCCATCTCCCACTGCTGCTTGCGGAGGTGAGCCGAGGCCATTCACACAGAGCTGGGTGTAGATGTGAGGAAAGTGGAGGCCATCTCTCCAAAGGCCATGCTTCCCAGCAGAGCAGTACATTGCAGCAGAGAGATCGGTATGCAGGAAGCAGGAGGGAGCAAGGTGTGAAGAGGGAAAGTTCCAGGCTGTGGCAGCCCACAGGTGACACTTACAGCGTGTGTAGTTTAGGCAGGTACTGGAAGGCCGACCTCCCCACAGACTGAATTGGGTTATCATAAAAGTGTCTGGAAGAAAAGACACAAACACCTAATTCAGTTTCTTGCTGTTTTCAGTGGGAGCTAAGGCTCACCACTGCTTCCTTCTCCTCCAAGGGGAAACCCAGGAAAAAGGCAGAGGACTGAGTGGCCTTCCCGCCCTCCGGCCTCCCAATACTTCCTGGGAGCCTCTGTCCTTCCCCACCACCTGCCACACGCAGCACCCAGCTAAGCAGTACGCACATTGTCTGCAGCAGAGGGTTGCCCATGAAGGCCTTCTCAGGGATAGCCTTGATGTTGTTGTTGTGGAAGCCTCTGGAAGACAGCACCGAGGAGTGATGAGGATTTGGGGAGAGGGAAAGACTTAGACATTGGTGGCCCTTCCTGACAGCTGACTAGACAGCTAGCAGACAAAAAGACCCCAGCCTGGAGGGTCTAGGTTCAGATCCTGCTTGTGAGCTCCTTCTTTGTTCAGCTATCCACCCATCCTTTCTCAAACAAGAGCCAGGAGAGCAGGTTTGGAGCCCAGGCTGCAGATCTCAAGGAGCCTGAGAGGGCAACTCCAGGGTAAGCTGTCAAGAGGGGACCTCTCCTTGGTCGCCTGTGGCAGGAGCCCTGGTGAGTCCCCACAGAGAAAGGCAAAGGTGTGAGGTAGAAAAAGAAGAGGGCAGAAAGAAGAGAGCTTCCAGGGGGCCCCGGGCTGAGGCTGCTCCTCAATGGAGACCGGCTTGGCTGCCAGCCTGGAAATGAAGAAACAGATACATCTATACCAGGCGGGCAATAAGGACTAGAGTGAGGGACTGAATGACTGTGGCATACGGCGTGGGGGAGCATGGGACCCAGCTGAAGGTCTGGGCTCTGGAAGTCAGGGACTACATATCTGATCACTTGGGAAGAACGTGTACCATGTTGGTTTGAAAACAGGGCCCATTCAGTCATTCGCTCTTTCCCTGGGAGCCACTGGCTCACCTTTGTGGCACCCCAGCCTCTGTTTACCTTCCTTCTTCCACTGTCATTGCTTCCACTGTCTGGCTTTCTCATTTATAAATCCCCCTCCGGCAAATGCCACCCACCTAGGCCAGTTCCTCCCTTCCTCCCTTCCTCCCTTCCTCCCTTCCTCCCTCCCTCCCTCCCTTCCTCCCTCCCTTCCTTCCTTCCTTCCTTCCTTCCTTCCTTCCTTCCTGCCTGCCTGTCTGCTTTCTCTCCTTCATCCCTTTCCTTCTTCCCTTCCCTCCTTTTTCCTTACTTTCTTCTCCTCCTTCCCTCCCTTCCTCCTTCCTTTGTTTCTTCTAGTTATTCATTATATATTTCTAAATATTTTCTTTCTATCTTGTGCTCTACCAAGTGCTGAGGGATTGGGAAGTTTATAAGACAGCATCCCTGTCCTCAAGACGCTTTCTCAAAATAGATGGCAGATAGACGGATAAGTGGATGGAAGGATTGATAGGTGATAGGTGGATACCACATATACGCATAAACACATACGGCTAGGTGTATAGGTGAAAGACACATACATAGTTATGGATAGATAAATTGTGAATGAATAGATGATAGATACATACATACACACAGGTGTATGGATAGGTGATACATACATACATCATAATTACACACACATAATTATGGATGGATGGTGGACAGGTGGATGGGAAGATGGATGGGTGATAGATACATACATACATAGTTATGGCTAGATGAATGATGGATGGGTAGGTGGGTGTATAGATAGTAATACATACTCTACGCATGTATCTTTCTGCTCCTGCTAACTAGGTCTCTGCTCTCTCTTTCCTAATGCTTTTCGTTTGCCATCCATGGCATACCCTATTCCTTCCATATCCTTTTGATTGATCAACTATTGTCCATTATACCTCACCTCAAAGAAAAAAAAAGTCAGACCTCAGTAACTCACTGGTATTGGAGGACTTCAATATTCCCCATTCAGGCCCTTTCCTCTGGCTGGCCAGCTCTCCTCATCTGCTCCCTACACCTGGCCTCCACACCTTCAAACTTCTGCAGAGGTGAGGGAGAACGTGGGACTGCACTCCAGGTCTTAGGTGGTGGTTTGAGTGAGGAAGATGCTGGGCTGCCTGATAGTTTGGCACTCATTTCGTAAACCCTCAGACTCCTTCATCTGACTCCAGTCCAGTTTACACTAAGTCTCTTAGATCCCTATGAGCTTCTGTAGGACAGGGGCAATGCCAGGCCCAGGCTACCAGAGATGGCTCATGCTGTGGGTCTTCCTAGGTTGAAAGGCCCAGAGTCACTTCTGCTGATGACACATCCCAGGAAACACTCGAAGCCAAGCTAATGAGGCCTGTGACTACTTAGAGCTGTACTGGGGGCCAGGGAGGGCCACAACTACAACTTTTACAAGGACCACGGGAGGTGAGGAGGTAAGGGAGGCCCAGGCTGGCTGGCCCCTGCCTTCGGGAGAAAAAGATACCCGCAGAAACCGACAGAGCAGCTTACAATTCCTGCAGTCTGCCCAGGGTCCGGATGGCCACGGGGAACTCCTGCAGCTCATTATAATTCAAGTCTCTGGAATGGAAAGCAGGGCTGTCATTAGTGCAGGGGCTTAACGGGGCATGTCAGGGTCCCTGAGAAATGGAAACTTGGCTCTGGGGTTGGCCAGAAAGATGGGTTTTCCAATGTGCTGGATCCAGCTGCCGATGTCTGGAAACACATTTTTGGAATGCTTGTACTCCATTCCTACTCCATAAATCCTGCGGCTCCGGGTCTTTCTGGCACCAAAACTGTTTGGAATGGGGATGTACTTCTGGGGTGTGGGTACCTGGAACCGCACACCTCAGAATAGTCTCTGTAAGCTAAGGAAAGTATCTCGGGCCTTTGGAAAAATGAGAGATGAGGGGGGATGAGACGATCTTCAACATCTTGTTACCAGCATTAGGGATCCCAGAAAGTTCCGCAGGTGATTACCTTGGCTGTGGCCTCAGCTGTCATTTTCTAAAAATGTGAACAGCATTTTTTATCTTTGGATAGTGGCATGACTGCCAATCTTTGTTTTCGCTTACATTTTTCTACATTTTTCCTTTTTTTCCCCCCAAAGAACACATATAACACATGACCAGAAAACAACAAAGGTAATTTTGGTTTTTTTGAGACAGGGTCTCACTATGCAATTCAGCTGGCCTTAAACTCACTTTGTAGCCCAGGCTAGTCTCGAACTTGCAACAATCCTCCTGCCTCAGCCTCCTGAGTGCTGGGATTACAGATGTGCAGCACCACGTCAAAGGTAATTTTTAATGGGGGGGGTAGCAATCCCATTGGGCAAGGTTGTGGAGAAAGAGCCTTCTAACAAACTATTCTTGGAAATTTGAATATGTACAACATTTAGAAACAATCTGAGCATCTTTTCCAATTAAACCCTCATACTCAGACCTTCCAAGTCTAAGACTGTAACCTACAGAAGAGTCTGTACTCCTGCTTAAAGATCTTTGTATACAGATGATTTTAACAGCATGGTTTAGGTGCCCTTGGGCTTTGAGTCCTTGGTAGCCATAATAGAGCAAAGGAAGGGAGGAGAAATGCGAGAGACCATGGGTTAATTTGATTCTCATCACAAGCAAAAAATTTAGATTTCTTCATGGCAAATGAGAGCCTCAAAGGCAGAGGCAGCTTGCAGAAAAAAGAAGCATTTGAGTTTTGTGGGAGGCAGTAAGGAGTGTGGAGGCAGCGGAGACTAAGAGGTACTGAGAACTTCTTACAAGTTCCACTCTCCACCGGCGATGGGGTTTCCTCTTTGCTGGGGCTAGGACAGACTTCAGAAAAACGGCAACTTCAAAATGTTAAGTTGGCTTTGGTTTTGCTCGGTAGCTGATGAATTAGCCCCGTGGGGAAATGACCTGAGTGGGCCTGATGCCTCTAAGATTCTGTTTCTGCGACTGACAATCATGGGCTTTGTCCATGGGGCTGTGTCAGTTCCAGTGTCCCTCTTGAGCCTCCCAGGAGGACCCCAGAACCACAGCCCATCTCCTCAACCTTTTAAAACCACTGCTACCCTGACAACTTTAAGTTTGTCCAGTGGCAGGACAGGGGGACCACGTGGAGGTCCTCTGAGTCCAGAGACCTTGGCAGAATTTTGTGGATAAATATTATGTTAACACAGAGATAATGACAGGCTCTTCTGCATGACAGGGTCATTATACTTAATAATCCACAGGTAGAGCCAGAAACCCAACCCAAGGGCCAGAGCGGCAGTGACAAGCATCTGGCAGCCAGTGTGCAGGATAATTGTCCCCCTCCACACACACACTAATTACCTCATTACCCTCAGACTGCCCTGGTGATTCTAGTGATTGCGCATAAAATCCCTCCTTCTAGCCTTGACTCTGCTGGTTCTTTATGGAGCCACACACCTTGGCCTCCCAGGTGTGACACCTTGATTTGCCCACAGATGATCTCACAGGTCAGGTGAGCATCAGCCTGTTGTCAAATTAAGGCCAGAATGGATACAAAACACTTAGACTGAAGCTGGCGGTATCAGAGTTGGAAGCAGGGGGATCTTTAAACTCTGGGGTTCCTGTAGTTCTACCAAAAGCTTCAGAAGATGACTGGAACACCAGATGGGCAGAGTCGTGAATGGAATTAGCAGAGATGAGAGAGATGGACATTTTTTGGCCTTAAATTTTATATATGATTCATTGTCCTCAGTCTTTCAAAATCAGGTGTTCCCTTTCTAACTTGGCTCAGCTCCCTTAGGAAATATCTGCTGTTTCCGAGGAGAACTGCATTTCCCATGAGTGGATGGATGCAGCACTGTTCAAAGCCTTAACACTGAATCAACATCTAAAGACAAAGAATTGCATTAGTCTGGCCTCAGAGCCATTGCTTTCTGTTCTGTCTGCTTAAATGTTCTTTCCCCAGGTATTCACATGGCTTCCTTCCTCGCTTTGCTTGGGTGTCTGTCCAAATTACACTTCATCAGAGAGGCCTTCTCTGGCCATTCTATTTCATATAGTACACCCAGTCTGTCACTCACTGTGCATTTGCCCCATCTGCTAGATTAAAAGTGATCACAGGGCTGGGGATGTAGCTTTGTGGAAAAGTGTATACTCAATATGCCTAAGGATCTGTGTTTCACTCCAGCAGCTCCCAACACACTAAATAAAATGCATCTTATTAAAAAAATTTTTTAAAAGGGGCCACTAATCCTTTGTAGCTTCTCCTATCAAAAGGTGGCACCTACCTGGAGCCTGGCCATGTGAATGGCACTGATTACATGTTCTGGCCTAATCCTAAGTCACAGTCCCCCACCTTTCCCATCTTAGAATACTTGCATTACCATGTGAGAAAGTCCAGGCTGGACTCTTGAATGGGAGAGCCGCATGGAGAGAGGGAGAGCCACATGGAGAGAGGAACAGCCAAGAGCCAAAAGGTATGAGTAAGACCCCAGACACTGAGCAAGGTCCCACCCCAGCTGAGACTCCAGATGACTGCAGCCTCCTGAGTGAGCTCAGCTTAGCAAGGGGTCTCCAGCAGAACCATCAACAAGCCCAGCCAAGCCATGGATTCAGGAGAAATAACAAGGCGTTGGTTCAAGCCATTGAGTTTTGGAGTGAGTTTTGACATAGCAATGGATAATGAGACACTTCACTTGCTTTTCCTTCATAGAATTTATTGCCACGTGACATGCTTTTATTTTCTTCTCATCCATCCAGAATGAAAACTTCGGGAACACAAGAGCTTATTCTGTTTTGTATTCTACATATCAGAATAATACCTGGCACCAAACAGGAACTTAAAAAATATTTGTTAAATGAATAAATCTAAAGCTCTAAATAAATGGATTATTGAAAAAAAGCATTAATGAACTCTTAAGAAAATCTAGAGAATTTGGGAGTATGTTCTTAAGATTTTGAGGTTGATGTCAAAATGATACAAGATAATCCCAAGTGACGCTGTTAGCCACAGAGGCCATGGGATGAGGCCAGGGAACAATTTTGCTATCACTTAGCCTTTGTACAGTTCACTGGACTCATGTCCAGGCAGCCAAATTGAGTGGTTCCAGTCCTCTTTGGCAGTTTCTGGTCAGGAATTTCTGGTCAGGAATTTTGCCAAAAGTGGACTAACAGTAGGAAAAGACACATGGTGAAAGGCATGTGAACTAGAAGAAGGCTATTTTTATAGAGAAATGTGGGAGAAGAAAAATTGTACAAATGTCAAAAAGAATTCTGCAAACTCCATGCCAATGAGGTGGCCTGGATTTTCCCATTTGGATGTCTACACAGATTCAATGACTTGGGTAATTGCCAAAGCCCTTCTTCATTTGGTGCTGTGTAGATATAATCTCTGGCTCTAATTGTCCAGGGAACAAGTCTTTGCAACTCTCTCTACCACTAATGAATTCAACTCAGTACAACAGACATTTGTTGCCAGATGTCCCAAAATACACAATGAATTCTGCTGGGTAAAGTGGAAGGTAGAGAGATGGATAAAAACACTCCTGTCTAGACAAATACACAAGACAATAATGTGCACAGCCTGAGCATGATGTGGCAGGTCCTGGAGGACACACATAGTACCAGGACCTCCAGAAATGACTGTGATCACGCGTGCCTTTGAGGGCCTCATGGTGATGTGACATTGATTCAGGTCTTAGTGGCAGGGCTAGATTTCAATGGGAAGGGATGGGTGCACCAAGGAAAGCGTGATTTAGAGGAAATGAGTGTTCCGGAATTGTGTTTGGAAAGAACAAATAAAGTTTGGTTGGGAGAAGGACGATATTTAGAGGTAAACCTGGAGAGTTCTCTGCCCTGGACTGATCTATACACTCTTATCAGGTCCCCTAACTTCAGGCCATTCACAGAATAATACTGCTTGAGCCCTGACCATGTGTCAGCCACTAAGGGATGTGGCCGAATGTTCTCTCTTAATCTTCACAAGTGCTTTAGGAGCCAGCACTCCAGTTATTTCAATTATTTTAAAGTTTAGGAAAATGAGACACACATAGAGTAAACGAATCTCTCATTCACAAATAAGTAATAAATAGTCAGGGCAGAAACCACTGTTTGCAAAATCTCTCCTCTCTTTTCTTTAATATTGCACTGTCCAACACCATAAGTATCAGGCATATGTGGCTGTTTAAGTTCATTACAAGTAAATACAATTAAAAATCCAGTCCTCAGGTTTCTAGCCACACTCCCAATATCCCATAGTCATATGTGGCTAGCAGCTTTCATATTAGAAGCACAGATCTAGAGTGTTTCTGCAATCACAGGAAGTTCTATTGTGCAGCACTCTCCTATCATATCAGGAGGAATAGCCAGGAATGTAGCTGGAGTGCATTTCCCAGCCCCTGCTGCAGTAGATGTGGCCACATGACTAGGTTCACACTCAAAAAGGTGGGTATTTCTAGTCCAGGGTCCAGGGTTAATAAAATAGCCACCACTGTCTCTTCAATGGTCTTTCTACCTTTCTACCAGTTAAATACCAAAAACATTGAGGCTCTAGGGATGGCAAGGGTTCTTCTGGAGTCACCACATGGAGGAAGGCCACCCGCTAAGAAGAAACACCCTTCTTGGACTGTAGCATGATCCAGAAATAAACTTCTGTTGTGTCTGAGCCATGATATATGTTTGGGTCTATTTGTTACAACAATTCAGTCTATTCTAACTAAGTCAGTGCTGCGGCCAGAATTTGAACTGACAGTTGGAGTCTGGAGCCCACGCTCTTAGCTGCTGTGCATCTGCCAGAATAGATCCTTTCAAAACATAAAGCTGATTCTGTCCCTCTCCTACACTGAACAAGATCTAAAAATGATTCTGGAACAAAGACTTACAGAACACCAGCTGGGGATTTAGCTCAGCGGCATAAGCGCCTGCCTTGTAAGCGGACAGTGGTGAGTTCGATCCCTGGTACTGATAAAAACAAAAAAGACAAAAAAAAAAAAAAAAAAAAGACTTACAGAACAAAGTTCAGGTTCCTCAGTGGGCTCCAATGCCCTTAATCATCTTTCAGCTTTATCTACATTTCAGCTCTCCACACATTTTCATACCCTTGTATATTTACTTGGACCACTCTTGTCCTCAGCCTGGAATGCCCTCTCTCCACATCCTCAGCTGCTGAAATCTTAGTCATCCTTTGAAGTCAGGCTCAAATATACCTTTCTCCCTGAGCCCAACCTCATCCCTGCAGTTAGAGTGAATCACCGACTCTCAGCATTTTTCTGTTGTTTTCTCCTCTGCGTGCCCAGCATTAGACTGGTAATGATGAGGGTGGTGGTAATGGCAGTAATTACTACATAAAGGGCACAGTTCTCAGATATGTTCATATTTTGCTTCATTTAATTTCCTTTGCCAACCCTTTGTGGTGGGCACTACTATAACCTCCAATTTGCACGTGAGAAACTGAGGCACAGGATGAGGTAATCACTTGGCCATGGTTTTGCAACTCATAATGGAAAAGCTTGACTTGAAACCCAGGTAGTTTAAATCCAGAGTGCGATACTGTCCCTCTTGAGATGGGAAGCTTGTTGAGGTCAGGGGACACATGGATTCACTTTTGGGTCTCATGCAGCTCAGGAACGGGGGACATATGTGAATGGTCCTGGCTGAAGATATTTGAGGCCGTTGGACAAGGCCTCATGATGGGAGGCCCCTGTAACCTTTGTGGCTGGCTTCTCTAGGACAGCATCTTGGCCCCTTGGGATTCCACTCTAGCATGCATATTCTTGGTAACCACAGAGAAAACTTCCTCTGGCGAAAGGCTCCATCTGATTCTTCTGTTGCAGGATAGTTTATGATGCTTTAAACTTCGGCTGGAAAACTCATCCATGGCTTTATAGCCTATTATCTTTAATAGCCCCCAGAATCGGCCAGAAGCCCAAGGAGAGTTCATTGTTCTGTTTGCTGCTCCCGGGAGCTAGGGGAAGGGCTGAGGTTAAAGAGAAACCATTCCCAATTCCAGCCGGAGTTCAATCTGGAAGCTGCAGCTGTCCATGGCTAATCCTCCCCTTCATCTGCTTAGCTGATTTCAGCCAAATCCAATCAAAACTGATGGCAAATTCATGCAATCAGTCAAAGTAGCTGAGCAGGCACTCAGGCCCTAAGCTGCTCAAGGACCTGCGTCCCTGACCTCTCTGCTGTGCAGAAAAGGCCCAGACCCTGAGATCACTCAGTGTCTCACTGTGAACCAGAGACAGAAGTGCCAGGATTTCACAACCCCTGTCTTATGCAGCTCCTTCTTATTAGTTGATGAAAAAAAAAAATGGAGTTTGAAGAGAAAAAGTCAATTTGCTGTGAGTTCCAGAGTCAGAATTCTAACACAAGCCCCAGGTTTAAAACTTTCAGTACTACCCTCCATTGGATCTTTCAAGGCTACAGACAGCAGGGCTGAGAAGAAAGCTTTCTGGAGACTGGGAAAGGATAAAGGGAACAGGGTCCCAGAAGAACTCCTTTAGGTGTTTTAAGCATGTCAAAGTCAAATGATTAGGTCTTAGAGTTTGGACATCTGTCTGTGTGTCATCTGTTGTGCAGGAGAATACTGTTGGTGTTCTGTGTACCAACAAGATCACCTTGGGAAATAACTTGATTTTCTTAGCTTGTTTCTTCACCTGCAGGTAGGGCCACCCAGCGCAAAAGGCCACTCTGTTCACCTGGTCCAGAGACTGCATAGAATAGATGTTCCAATAAAGCCAATTCCTTTACCTCATCGTTTCACTAGACACTGTGCCCTGGAACAAACACTTCATTCATCAAACACTACAGTAGTAGGAACACAAGTTAGTCCATCTACTTTTCACAGCAATTAAGAAAGATAAATATCATTCATTGAGCTCCCACTTACATTTTTATTCTCAAGGCTAATATTTGCATTTATTACCAGATCACAGATAAGGGTCTTGGGGGAATACGGGAAAGCTCGCTCCGCTGTGCAAAACACAAAACACAGAAATTTCTCATAGCTTGTAAACGCTGAACCACTTTTATCTCTCAAAGGTCTGGCACAAAGGCAAGCATGCACAATTAATAATGTCTTAATTGCTCTTCCTAAACTGCAGATGGAGCCTCTGTCTTGAATCTGAGTCCTCATGCTTGGGGTATATGAGTTAAAAAACCAGGAGCCAACAAACACTTCATGACTAATAGCATTGTTTGACCTTCTAGAACAGTCTACATAAAAGGCCACCCATTAATAAATATAATTAGTAAAATGTCGTCAGTTTCTATAGAAAGACACAGACACACCTTTCTTCCCTTCACCTACATGCTCTTCCTTGCCAGAGAGAACATTCAGCATGTACCTGAAGCAATGGTGTGTTGCCTTTCATGACAGCTGCTGGCCCTGGCACTGAGATTCCATGCTGCCCTGCCCTAACGAAGCACCTGGATCACAGAAGCCGAGACCTGGAAGGGAGATAAAGGTAATGGTCCAAGCCGCCCCCACAGCAGGCACCAGCTTAGACTCTGCTGGGAGGGAATCCAGTTTCTGCTCGGACTGTTGGACTGGCAGAGCATTCACAGACTGTGCTGACTGTCCAGAGTGGCAGTTGTTGGGCTGCTCTACACACTGAGTAATGCTTCTCCATCCTGAGTTAGGGGGCCACTGTTCCTTCCTCCTTTGGCCCTCAGCCTGCCAGCTGGAAGTCCATAAAAGATGCCTCTGTCTTCCAAAGGTGATCCTGCTCCAGTTCATTGATTCCTGCTTTGCGAACACTTCACCTCCTCACCACTCCCCCCAGGAAAGCCCTCTTAGCCCTCCCTTTTAAGGCACAACACCCAGAACATCCAAAACAGGACCCAATCCTCTGGGTGTGATCTGATCCCTGTGGACACATGACAACCCAAAAGGCCAGGAACCATTAATGCAGGGGACCTGGAGTCCCTGAGGTGCTCCTGACCACAAGAGAATGTGGCTTGAAGATTTGTCTTAGAGACTCAACTTGCAGGTCCAAAGTCAGCACTCAGTCAAAGTGGCACACAACTGTAATCCAAGCGCTCAGGAAGCTGAAGCAGGAGGATGAACTCAAGTTTGAGGTCAGCTGGGGCTACATTGTGAGTTCAAGGCCAGCTTGAATGACATAGTGAGACCTTGTCTCAAAAGATTAAAAAACAGAAGAAAAAGAAAGAATAAAAGAAGTCCAGGCTCCAAGGTTCTAAACAATTGGGTTTGTGAAAATGTAACTTGGCCCCAAGGCAAAGCTGAGTGGCCTCAGCCCATATCCAGGGACCACCCCAAAGTTACAACAAGAGGCATCTGTTCCTAGGCGGTGGGCGAACTGGCTGGGAGCATTGAGGTATGGGTTGGTGAGGGCTGGGCTGGAGTCATCAGTAATGGATGGCCTTAAAAGCCATGAGACCAGATGAGCTCACAGGGGAAGGAGTGAAAGGAGATGAATCCAGGGTGCGCTCAGGTTACCAGGTTGGGGGAGGATGTCAGAAATGCTGGGAACAGCACATCCCTGATAAGTTTAAAGGATCTCAGGACTTCCGGTCTAGAACCGCCTTTGTCTCTAGAATTCAAGAGCTAGTTTTTGTTATTTTGTTATTGCACTCAGGAGCTGCTTCTTGAGCGCCTGTAATGTTGTTCTGGCACAAAGTAAGAAGCTCATAAGTATTTAGGGAATCTAAATCAACAGAAAAAAGTGCTGATCCTTGTGACCAGCGCCTCCTTCCTAGAGCTAGTAAAGGTCGGACTGCGCTTTCGTCACATCAAAGGACCCTGTGGCTCTCCAAGCTCCCAGCCCTTCAACTTCACTTCCTTTCCACTCCAGACCAGCTGCTAGGGTGCCTGGGGGAGCAAGGGGTGCTTGTGGGAGTTCAGAGCAGAGCGGAAGCTTTGGTCCCATTGGCAGTGGGGGAGGAAGGGGTAACTGTGACAGGAGTGCGACCTTGGCCAGCCCCGGCACCAGGACGATGGGAAAGGGAATGTTATGCTGGGAAGAACTATTAATAACCCATCGTGGACACAGAGCACAAGAGAAGCTCATTGGGCAGCTCAATTTTCCGCCTGTTAAAAGTCATTAGTGGTTCTGTGGGGGAAGCCAGAAAAAAGGGTTTATATGGAACAATAAATTCCTCTATAAGCCACAAAACCCCACAAATTTGCAGCTAATAAACCCACAAATGTAAGACGATTAAGAATGGGAGAGGAAAGTGTTCCTCGATGCTTAACCTCAAGTGGCAGCGTGGTCTGAGCGGCTGACACCCAGCCAAGGGCAGAGAAACCTGAGTTCTCACCCTGCCTCTCTATGAGCCGAGTGACCTTGGGGAAGTCAGCTGCGCTCTGCCTCCCTCCTGTGACAATACCTGCCTTGTCTTCTTCAGTGAGTGACTGGAGGAAGAGATGAGATAGACTTCGAAGCAAAGATAAAATTCTACTTCTTGTTTCAGGGACTGATGATGAACCCAAGGAATAGTTGGATAATCAGCACTTGCCTTGAGATAAAAAGAGAAGTTGACCATGCATGGTACCACATACCTGTAATCACAGGACTTGGGAGGCTGAGGCAGGAGGATCGCCCCAAGTTTGAGGTCAGCTTGGGCTACCTAGTGAGACCCTGTCTCAAAAAAAAAAAAAAAAACACCAATATAAAAGGTGGGAGGACTAGCACAACTCATCTGAACCTCTGCTTCATAGCCTGCCAGTGGGTAGATACAACAGGTTGAATTGTAGCCCCCAAAAAGGTAGATCCAGATTCTAAATCTTAGTGCCTGTGCCTGTGACCTTCCTTAGACAGAGAGCCTTTGAGTAGGAATTCCATGGGTTAACAAGGCTGGCCCTAAATCCAGTGACAAGGATTCTCATAAGAAGAGGAAGTACAGATAAAAAGGCACTAATGACAGTAGATGGAGGGGGTGGGGGTGGGGGGGATGGAGGGGTGTTATGGGGGTGGGGATGCAAAGGTTTATCTCAGAGGCATAAGCGCTGCTTGGCAAGTGTGGGGTCTTGAGTTTGATCCTCCCAAAAAGCCAGGAGGGATGGGGTTCCATGGCAGGGAATGCCAAAACTGTCTGGGCCACCATGAGTTAGGAGAGAGGCAGAGCTGTACCTACCCACTGGCAGGCTCTGCAGCAGAGGTTCAGATGAATTCTGCCTCAAACCCTGCAGAAGGCATCGACTCCACTAACACCTTGATTTTGCACTGCTGACCTCTAGGACTGTTGAGTAATTTGGTGTTTTCTTAAATTCATGGTGTTTTGTTACAGCAGCCCAGGAAACCACCACACCAGCGTGGAAATTCCTTTTCATCCTACACAGATGAGTCAATGTGGTCTGCTGTGAGGTGACACTTCCGGGTTATACCCTCCTGGCCACCTTCAGATACCTTCCATCCAATGTTAAATGAGAGGGCACCTACAGCATTCCAGGTGCTACAGAAAGGTATCTTAAGAAATGTGACCCTTGCCTGCAACAGGCCTCTGAATTGTAAATTATCATCCTCATTCCCTATTTGTAGAAACCAAGGCTCTTGAGAGCCCGGTGACTTACTTGTACATGTCACACACTAGTAGCAGAAACAGGATTTGAAGCCAAGCCTTCCAATTCAAGGTCAATCCTTGACCTTCCCAGGAAGCCCCAGACCTAGAAGAACCTCAGTGGAAATAGCCTGGGGGTCTGTTCCAGGCCAAAAGCACTGACTATCAGGCCAGGAGTGAGGAATGGCCAGACACTTTCACAGCCAAGTCCAAACCAGTGAAGAGTAAAACTGTTGGTATTTGTAGTTTCAATGCACAGAGACAGGAGGACATTTTCCAGTTACAATGGCTATTGAAGTAAAAACATCCCACGGAAACAGATTGCCGAAGCATCTGTCACTAGAGGAGGTTTGATGTGCTATGTACAATTTTGTACAATCAGGAGGAATTCTGTAAATTCTTGCCCTGCTCTCCTCCCTGTCTAGCTCCCTGGTGAGTGCTGGTCCTGATTTAGAGGCACTGGGACCAGAAGGTTTCTGTTCTCACTAAGGCCCCAGGCTGTCCTCCAAAGGGAACCAGCCAGCCAGCATGGGCTTGATTTGTTTAATGAGGTTATAACAAAGCCCAGAGATCATCACCCAGGCATAAGGAAGGCAGCGCTCTTGTCTCCAGACACATCCTGGAGCCTTGTCCTCTGGTTCAAGCTGAGGTGCAGATATCAAGCTCCTCATGAAGCACTGAGAGTGGGCCCTCAGGTTACAGTTGGAGTTGTTATGCCTTGGTAGGTTCTTTTCCTTTTCTTTGCAAAGATTCTGTTGCTAGTTATACTGAGAATTTGAGGATCACTACCTGTTGGGCAGGGACAGCTGCTGGTGGCCTCTGAGCTTGCAGTTCTAAGCACTGACCTCGGGGCCCTGGCACCTTGGCGTCAAGTTCTTGCCACTTCTTGCTGGGACCTTCCCTGGACTGTTCTTCATCATGACTTCTCCTGTTCCTCACTTAGGAAGTCCTGCAACTGATCTGTCCTTGAGGAGTAAATGCTAAATGGAGTAACGCACTAGGAGGCCAGAGAGATGCATTCTAGAGGCTTCACATTGCTTACAAATTAGAGCAGTTCAGGCAGTGTGGGTCTGATCTGGAAGTGCGGGTCTGATCTCGAAGTGCAACTTCATAGTTTGAGGGCTGGTCCACTTCTGAGCACAAATTTCCCAGCAACTGTGGGTCATCCTTGCAGTGGGCCTGGAAGGGAGTTGTGGGTGCAAGACAGAGCACGTCCTGTCTGCCTCTGCCTGAGGTTTTTTGGCAAAGTCTGGAACAGTGACGACTACATGGGAAGGTCCCAAGAGGCTTCTCCGGTGAGGTCAGGCTTCTCAAAGTGCAGCAAGGCTTATCCCGCAGGGGTTGGGGTGGCATCTGAATGATTTGTTCTGCCCCAGAAAGAGAGGGCATAGTAATACTCAGCCCTGGACCCTGCTCAAAGTACTTGTGTTTGCCTGGCTCCTTGGGAGTGAAAGACAGCATGAATAAGTCTCCCTTCTTTACCCTTCATCTTTGAGGTAGCCTACTGTCCAGGTAGAGAAAGTGAGGCTCCCAGAGCTGAGGTCACACGCTCCAGCTGACCCAGCCTGCAGACAGAGACCAGCGTTGGAACTGCATAGCCAGAGCAGAGGACATAAGGGCATCTGCGTAACCATAGATGCATTTGTGGAGCAGATCTCTGGGCAGTACTGAGTGTGGGGCAGGAGTATCTGTGCAGATGGAGGATCATAGAGAGTGGAAGCCAAGTGGCAGGTATGCTGCATGTGTGTAGTTTGGGATGCCTGTGTGGCCACGCATGTGCGAGCCCGCACCTGGCCCCTCCTCCCCAGGTGGTATGACTGGGGGCTGCACTCCCCGCAGAGAGGAGTCTGCAGACGAGCCAAACCACAACCTGGGCTGTGGGGGTTTGATCTTCTCTCTGCTGCCAGAGATGAGAGAGGTCTAAGTGGCAGAGATTTACGGGGCCCGAGGGAGAAATACCCTTCCAGTGAGAAGCTCACATGAAAGCTCTAGAGTAATAACTGAGGTTGCTGAGCGTGCCAATTATGCAACAATTAAAGGGGTTGACTATCATTTCTTTCTCCTTTCATTCTCCCAGCCACTCCTCCCCCTCCACATCTGGCTTCCCTTGCAGGCTCCACTGCAGTGCTCTGGGGAACAGAGGATAAAGAACACACACTACCCCCCCCCCACCTTTTTTAATTGGAGATCAAAAGTTGGAAGAAGGGTTTACCCCTCAAGGGTGGGGAAGAAAGGCGTGTTGTTAGATGGAGGCCTCAGAGGAGGAGGAAAGGAGCCCAGGGCAGGTTCCTATATAGCTGCCAAGCTCCGTAATAACATCATACACATTGTCTCAGTTCACGCACACGTCGGCACTACGAGGCTGGTGTTGCTGTTCATATGCTGATTAGAAAACTGAGATGGAGGTGAATGACTTGACCAAGATCACATGGCTGGGCCCCAGGCTTTTTGGTGCCAAAGGCTTTGCCACCAGGCTGTTCTGCCTCTGCACCATAGAGTGAGAGAACTTTTCCTTGTCTCTTGGTCTTGGCTTTGCTGTCTGTGAAGTGGGCACAGCCCTGGGCTGTGTGTGATAGAGCCAAGCCCTCCTGCAGATAGATGAAAGGTACAGCAGGTGCTTAGCGGCAGGATTGCTCTGTAATGCAGCCAGAGCCAGCTGAGCCAAATGTCCCACACAGCAATCCAGGGGCTAATTGAGAAAGAATTAGGCAGTGTGCCCCAAAAGTGAAGAAACAGCTGCTTGTTGGCTGTTTAGAGGTGCCAAGCCATGCCCAGTATATCCACCACCTCACCTGATTTCCCAGAAGAGCAAGTGGCTCCCACATTCCAGGGGTGATGGCCCTGGACTCTCTCCTACCCTGCCAATGAATGGCAACCAAACACTAGCCTGGGAGTGCTGTGTCTCCTGTGGAAGGCCATGAAGGGCTAGCCTTTCCTAGGAAATGACCATCTCTCACATTTGGGAGTCTCCACAAACCTAGCATGAAACAGGCTCACACAGTACACAGAGATCAAGTGATACTGGCAGCCACTCCCCTAGGGACTTCATGTATGTTTTCTCATTAACATACCCTGGATCAGCCCTGTCTGTAACTGGGGAGTCACCCTGGGGGAATCATGGCGCCTCCCTGGATATTAGCTTCCTCTCAAAGTGATTGGGTGAGTCAGACTGTCAGCTTTAACTACCTAGGTGTCTGTGATGGCTAGGGAGGGGGACACATAGCCCATGTCATGCACAGCAGCGGAGGAGGTTCCAATGTCCAGGCTGGGCACATCACCCACACCCCACTTCTCAGCACTCAGTTGGCTGGAAAGTGAGGATGCCAGAGAGCCAGACCCAGCTCTGCCATTTCTCTACTATAGCCTGAGCCCCTGAGAGCAGCCATGCTCCTGGGAATCCCCCCAACAGGAAAGAAGAGCAGAGTGTTGGTCTCAGCTCCCCACCCCCTCTCCCTGCATAGCCACAAATGCTGACAGCCGAGGCCTCTCGGGATAGGTTTGGCCTCTCAGGATAGGTTTGCCAAATAGTCGCTTCCCAGTCTCCCAGCATATTCTCCCCTACTGCTTTGAATTCTTGCAAATCCCTCAGTTTAGGAGTGATGCTCTGGATTGCACATGGAAGGAGGCTTGGCCGTGAGTGGAGGGGGAGATGTAGAGGGCACAGGAGGGACTGAGATCACCTCCCTGATGCTGCAAGCTCTTCCTCACATGCAATGGCTCTCACTTGGTGGTCTGGGGATCCTTCTTTCCCTAGCACCCCCTTTCCAGGCCTGCACCAGGTGGCAATGGCAGTCAGTGCCCTCAAGGGAGCTGAGAGACCCCAGCTGGCATGGCCAGCCACACTTCCAGTGCCTGGCCAATTGTTTGCTCATTTGGGGCCCACTCAGCCCATTCTGCAGGGCTGGCAGGACTCCAGAGGAAGTGATGGGAGGACTTGGGTGCATTCTGACCTTAACTGAATTCCAGGATGATGATGTGTGAATAATATGGCTTTTTAAGAGTCAACAGCTTGGGTGCTTTTTATAGTTAGGCTGGAGCACTGAGTGGTCCATCTCCCCATTAATCATTTAGCTAGTTAGATCAGTTGGCAAACAATACTGACATTACTCTGTGATATTGTTCTCCCTTCTGTCAGCAGCCACCCTTAAACAGACGTCAAAGCTGCCATCAAGTCAGCCCCAGCCCCACCCCCAAGCCTTCTAGTCCTCAGGGTTAATATTCTAACTCCTCCAGCTTTTCCTTGCAGTTCTCCTTTCTCTGCCTTTTTTGATGGTCTCTGTTCCCACACTCTGGGCCACTCTGAATGCCTGCAGGACACCTCTGCCTGCCCACCTGAAGGAGAAAGGATCTATTCCAGGTGACATTTCGGAGAAGGTACTAGGGAAGGGCACGCAGGGGAGCAAACCCGGAGCCTGGTCCCAGTCTCCCTATCCTGCTGGCCCTTCCCAAGCCCACATCCACTTTAGTATTTGGAGTCTCAGTGCCAGGCAGGACTGAACTTGAACAAGTCCCTCCCACACACACTCACAGTGTCTCCAGGTTGCGCAGACCCTCGAAGCTGTGGGTCCCCAGATGCTTGATGCGGTTGTTATGCAGATGCCTAGTGCAAAAAAGAGACAGAATGAGTTCCACTGCACCGGGACCCATGGCAGATGGGAGGCATAGTGGCACACAAGTGGCAGAGTGGAGGCAGAAGCACGGACAGAATGCTAACCATGGTCTAACCCTTTCTCCCCAGGGACAAACAGAATGGGCAAGACAGACTTCTGAAGCCAACACTGCCCGGGCTGCATTGACCACAGGCTACAGCATTTTGACTTCCTATTAAAGAAGGGAGAGGAGAGCCCAGGCCAAAGCAAAAGCAAGCACTAGGAGGCAGACGGATGTCACAGGCTCTTCCATGATGTCTGAGGCTTTTTTCATGGCTCTGATCTCTAGGACACAGCTGGCCTGACTCAGTGGCCAGACATACTTAGGGAGCCAATGACAAACCGCTGCAGACAACATGTAATTAAAGACTAAGCTTTCTGTAACACACGGAGAGGGCTGTGGATAAGCTGAAAGAATAAGGAGAGGGGTGCGGCCAGAGGAACCGAGGGAGGCTCCATGGAGGTGGTGATCTAGAGCAGGGCCTTGAAGGGTAGGTGGGCTGCACAAGCCAGAGGGAAGAGAATACACCAAGGTGGGGAGCATGGCGTGTAGACAAGGGCTTGGCCAGGGCAGAGGTGGGAGACCAAAGAGATTGGTTTGGAAGAGATGTCCGGGATAAATAGCTAAGTGAAAATAAGTCACAGGATATTCTTCTTCCAACTCTTAATGAAAAAAAAAAAAAAAAAAAAAAACAGAAAAACAGAAAAACAAGACCCAAATATCACACGTAGTCACAAAGCTCCCCTGAAAAGGACACAGCCTACAAGTACACTGCAAAAATTGGTAGCCAGGAAAACATTCTGGACTTTATCAGCCTCCTTTCCTCAAAAAATCAACTTGTGAGAAAAAAAGTTGAGGGTTCTCCTCTAAGCCCCCCAAATCCAAAGTAGTAACGTGCATGTATTCTTATTTTTCCTCCATACTTCTAGTTTCCCGTAGGAGCAGGTGAATAGCTGAATAAAGGTTCCAGGCTCCCTCATGAAGCCAAGGGTACTCATGGGCAGAGAGAGCAAATGCACCCATTTAATACAGCTGGGCAGAGGGAGCCGTGGGCGGCAGGTCACCTAATGAAGACTGATATCAGCTTGGCTCACCCCTCCTATCTCCATCCTACCAGGGTACAGAAAGGCGATGGAACCTAAGTCAGGTATTAGCCCACACACTGCAGCGTGGCAGGGAGACCCAGAGAAGCCCGAAGGCGATGCAGCTAGAACAAGGACACAGAGCTCTCCAAGCACTGCCAGAGAAAAAGAGATCAGAGGGAAACTGTGAAAACATACAACAGGACAGCAGAGGGAGAAGAAGAGAGGGTGCGACAGATAGGCAAAGGTCCAAGCCTAGAGGAAAACAGAATTCATGAATGAGAAGCAGACAGAAATTGATCAGAATTCTGCTACAAAGCAATCCAAACATGATTTCAAAGACAAAGCTTTTTAAATGTAAGTAAAACGAATTTGTAGATTAAGAAAACAAACTGAGCACCCAAGGAACATTATTTAAAAACTAGTCAATGCATTTGAAATGAGGAGGAATGTAGACACGGGTGAAAGCTGACCGATTTCAGGGAGAGAAGCTGAGCTGATTGCAGTGAACCCGGCGGAACGAGACAAAAGTTAAAACAATTAGTAACTCAAAAGCATAAAAGACATAAAGGTGCTTGACAGGGGGATAATTGATGTCTCTGAGGGAGAGATTCAAAAAGTAAGATTGAGATATAGTCAGAGACAATACAAAAAAAAAATTCTTCGGGAGCAATAAAGAACAGAATCTGAGGTTCAAAAGCAGATTCTGTTCTTTACTGCTAGAGTTACACCATTAAAGTTCAAGAATTTAGAAACATTTTCAGGCATAAAAAAGAAATCACTTACAAGGGTACAAACCAGGCTGGCCTCTAAGAGGTTGCTCAGATATAGAGGCAACAGACAAAGCTCCTCCAGCAGGAATGGGAGGGATGCGAATCTTGTGAGTGTTTGGGATTTAAATCTCTGACTGTCCTTTCCATCCCTACCTGCTCTATCTGGGGAAAGACCCTTGCCTCTTGGGGGTTTCTGATCTACAGTATTAAGAAAAACACAGCTCCTTGTAAAATACTCCCTCTTTACCAAGGGGATTTTATTTTCCCTATTTCCTTCACATTTCTGTCCCAACTCTTCCCACTTCTGTTAAACCCCTGTCTTCATTTTCCACCTCCTCACTCTTCCCTATCACCTCTGGCCCAGACCATCTCAGCATTGTAGACATCCAGTGCCAGGCCTCCAAGTCCCTCCTACAACCTCTCAGTTGGCCCTGGTGTCCTGGGCACCTGCAGTAGCCCAGCGTGGGGCAGGTGATGGGGCTTCTAGCCTGATGCACAGACAAGATGGCACACAGGACAGCATTACCATCACAGCAGTGCTGCCTTGGGACCCCATCAGTGCCACCGCCATGGTGGTAAAGAGTTCCACAAACGTCAGAGAGGGTCCACACAGGTCTGTAATGAGAGCATGGGGTCTCGCTGAGGACAACACTTCTTCTGCCAGGCTTATCTGCTCATAGTCCAGAAAGGCCTCAGTCCACCCGCTTGGCTCTCCCCACGCTTCCTTCTTGCTTCCTCTCATGCCTTGTCTTCTTTCTCTGCCTCCTGGGACTCCCTGACAACTCTTCTACATCCCAGACAGCACCCCCCAGACTCCCTTTCAAAGTGCCCCCTTCTCCGTGCCATGAATGAAGGACAAGGGGCAATGTTTTAGGATGTCTCACCCTATGCAAATGGCCTGGTTCTGCTTCAGCTTTGCTTTCGTCCCAGTGCATTTTGTTTTTTCCTTAGTCCTTTGCTCTCCCTTACACCCAACGGGTAACCCATGCCTCCCAGACAGCTATGTGCCTGCTGTCGGGCCAGCTCCCTGCCTCCCACCCACACCTGTAATCACCCATGATTCTTTCTCCCCTCGGTTTTCTACTCTCCGAAAATCTCTAATTCAGATTAATTCTTCCTTCCAAACATCCTTCCCAGTCACGCCTTCTGGTCCATCCTTTCTGCCACCAATCTAAACTGAATTTTGATGCGAGGAGCCTTTGAACTGATCTTCCTGTCTCTGGTCTCCTCATATTCCCATCTACCCTTCACAGTGATATTTTTTTTTTTTAATTGGTACTGGGGATTGAAGTCACAACCGCCTGCTTGCAAGACAGGTACTTATACCACTGAGCTAAATCCCCAGCCCTACGGTGATCTTTTTTTTGAGTCAAGTTCTCCCTATGCAGTTCAGGCTGGCCTTGAGCTCACTTTGTAGCCCAGGCTGGTCTCCAACTCGCCACGATCTTCCTGCTTAGCCTCCTGAAAGCTGGGATGACAGGTGTGTGCCACCACACTCAGCCCTTCACAGTAATCTTAAAAGACCCGCTTTCAACCCTGCTTGAAAACCTCCAACCCTGAAGACAAGAGCCAGTTTCTTGCTCTGACATTGTGAGTCCTGGCCTTGCTGACCTCCTCTCTCACTCCTGCCTGAAGCCCTCAGTTCCAGTGGACTGGCCTATGCTGGCAAGCAAATGCCCTTGGCTTTCCTTCCCTCCAGGGTCTTTAAAGCTTCAATTCTCTTTGCTTGTCTGACTCTGCCACCTTTGCAGGCCCTGTTGCAGCTCCCCTGTTCACAAAGCCTCCTCACCACTCTGGCCTGTAGATCACCTCTGGCCAGACCATCTCAGCATTCTAGACATGCAGTGTCAGCCTCCCTGCCACTCCCCTGGTACTATGAAGCTCTCCACTCAGTGGGCTACATTAGTGTGAGTTCCACAACATCCTGAGCAAACTTCGGCCATTTTCACTGTGCTATTTCAGCGAGACTACAAACCCATCAAGGACAGCAGCCCTGTCCCATCCTTCTGTGACTTCCAGCTCTCATGTAGGCTTCTCTAAGTGCTGTTCCTGCTTGTGTGTCTGGGACCCATCACGAAGTTCTCATTTTTCCGCAGTCTTTTTTTCTTTTTCTTTTTTTTTTTTTTTTGTCTTTTTCCTTTTTATCGGTATCAGGGATTGAACTCATGACCGCCTGCTTGCAAGGCAGGTACTTATGCCGCAGAGCTAAATCCCCAGCCCCTATTTTCCGCAGTCTTGTTCCTCACAAAGAACTGACCCCATTCCTTCAAGACATCATGGGGACATCCCCAAGGCTAAAACTGACCACCTTGTTCCATTGCCCTTCTTCAGATTGTGTGCAGACTCCCAGAAGAATATCCTGATAGATGAATGGGCTCTGTGACAGTATTCATCTTAGTTCCTCACTCTCTCAGGATAAAGAATTAGACAAATTGGTGCCTGCCTTTTCACCTCTCAAATGGAACTAAGCACTGTCTGTTCCCTGGCTTGGAAAACCACAGCAGATTCTAAGAGCAGAGGAGGCAGTGTTCCCATTTAGCAGAGTCACTAACACACATGTTCCTGAGCCATGTTCCTGCAGCAATTAGTGTGAAACCCAAAACAATTACACATGACCTCCAAGCCCTTAGTAATTACCCTATGAACTTACCAATCATTCATAGCAATTAGCTGGAAGCTAATTTGCACTGTAAAGTTCCCACTGGGGAGGCAGAGTTAACCCCAGTCCCCAATTCTTGCCAGGGATGCTCTCTCCCAAGTAATTATCCTGATGGAGCTTTGCTGTCTAATTACAGGTGATAGCTTTTCTCTGCTTCTCTAGGCCTAGGAGACAAGGCAAATTTATCCTATCCATGTGCCAAGGCATATGAATGTATTATTTGACTGTTAAATATGGTGGAAATTATTTAAGAAATTCTTGATTTATATTTAATTAGCATGATATGGTTATTATAAGAAAATAATAGCCTACTTCCTGCTTTTTGTTTATAGCATTCTGGCCTGGGTGGCCCTCAGAGTATTTCTACAGGTCTAAGGTCTTCTGGTTTTGTGGTAATCCTGTGGGAATCAGTAGAGGATCTTCATCTACAGAGGACAAACCAAGACCAGCAGATTTCAGCAGCATGCAGAGAGGAGCAAAGCTAGCCCGGTTTCTGATCCAACTCGACTATGCGTGCAGCCCCCAGCAGGACCAGGCTCGGATGGGACCAGGGTGGAACTCACAGCACCACGAGGCTGGTGAGGTTCTGGAAGGCGAAGTCAGGGATGTAGCTGATGTGGTTGAGGGCCAGGGTCATGGCCTGCAGGGCAGGAAGGTTGTTGAGAGCCCTGACAGGGATCTCCGTGAGTGCATTGTCGTCCAACCAGAGGTGACGGAGGGAGGACAGCCCCTCAAAGCTCCTCTCCGGGACCAGGGAGATGAGGTTGGCATCTAGGCGCCTGGTAGAAGAGAGGAGGAAGAGGGGTCAATCTGGGGCAAGATGCAGATCAAGGTCTGAGACTGGGCTGCATCAACCAGTCCCCCAACCCAACCTCGGAAGTACCCTGGGGCTGTGGCTGTGACTTGACCACCATTCATCATGTGTGTTACACGTTCAAGTCCCTATATTTAGCTTCTATTCCAACCCACTTTTTGTTTCTGTTGGTAGTGCTGGGGATGAAACCCAGAGCTTGATGCATGCTGAACAAGTATGCTGCTACTTGAGGTGCCCCTAACTTTTTTTTTGGCTCTTTGAGAAAGGGTTTCACTATGCAGCCCAGGCTGGCCTTGAATTGCAGTGATCCTCCTGCTTCAGCCTCCCGAGTGCTGGGATTATAGGCATGCACCACCACACCAGTCCTTGCCCACAATTCTTGATCCTTTATGCCACACATTTCTATTTATGACATTTATGTGATTTCATTTGACTTCATTCTTCCTCACAGATCCAAGGTTGAACCCACAGCCCATTTGTGGATAACAAGTATTTCCCCTAAACTCCCAGGCCCCTAAATCTGTGTCATAGCCCCCCCCCCCCGCCTGCTCTGAGTATGCCATTATTTTTCTCAGCTCTGTCCATTCAAAGCCATACAATGGAGATGTCCCTGTATTTATTGGAAGAGGGAAAGCTCTTCCCTCTGGACTTAACCAAAGAGAAATGACTCCCCAGGGATGTAAGCCATTCTCTGTCACCCACTCCTAGAACTGCCTGTTTCTTGTCCCTTCAAGAACCCTGAAGTTCTGTGAGGCTTCTACTAAAGTCCTGGGGCTCCTTCCTGATTTGGGCGAGTCTCAGCATAACATGGTTGAAACCCTTGATTTGCTGCTTCTTAGAATAAGTAAACAGATGGTGGGCGTTCCTCTCTGTGCCCAAGAGAAACTTGGGTAACCCAAGGACTTCTGATGTGAGTCTGGAAGATCTTGGTAGACCAGAAAAACAAGGAGACTGCTCATCTTTAGCCTTTTGCAGATTTGTGTCTGCCGGAGTGTCTTTTATCAATATACTACTGTCTTTTCCTCCTTGTCTGGGACTTAGGCTAATTTTCACTGCTTTAAAAAGATCCTACCCACCAGGAGACCACACAGTTACTGGAGGTAGAAGATTAGCAAAGAGATAGTTGCTGAAAGGGACAGCGATAGCCATACCATTTGCTCTAGAAACTTGAAAAGTTTGACCAATGTAGGGTCCAGGCCCCAAATCCCCCTAGTGGTAATCCCTTTGGCTCTTGATCTAAGATGTACAGTACTGGCCCAGCAGGCTCCTTGGCATGGTGAAGTTATCTGAAGAGTCTGAGAGTCTTTTTAGCATCCCACAAATTACGCCACTTTCCTGCTATTTTTCTACACACAAAATCCACACAAAGTCCCACCTCACCTCAGTCCCAGTGTGCCTGGGCGCCTGCCAGCCAGAAACTTAGGCTGTCGGTGTCACCTTGCCCCTATCTTCTACCTTTCCAGAAAACTGAGCCTGGAAAATGACAATCATTCACGTATGAAACCAAGACACTTCCTGCCTGACATCATGTAGCTCAGCCAACCACAGGTGTAGTGTCTTCACAAAAGAGCTTCATTCCCTTAGTGTCTGAATCACCAGACCCTCAGAGTGCAGAGCTGCCCTGCTTGAGCCCTATCTTGGTGGAGCAGAGCACACGGTGAGTGATTCCCTGAGCATTCGCTTACTATGTTCGTTCTCTCTCTCTCTCTCTCTCTCTCTCTCTCTCTCTCTCTCTCTCTCTCTCTCTCTCTCTCTCTCGTTCTTTCTTCTACCACTTCTACCAGTAATCAAACTCAGGACCTTGCACTTGCCAGGCAAACGCTTACGCCACTGATCTATATCCCCAGCCTAGGCTTACTATGTTCTAAGAGATATCCAAGTATCAAGTCATTTGTTTTTACAGTCTATGAAGTTGACATTTTGCAAATGAGAAAAATGAGGTAGAGAGAGGTTAAGTAACTTACTCCAGGTAAACATCTAGTAAGTAGCAGAACTGGGATTCAAACCCAGACCCAGCTCCATAATATGCATCCATAACCATTATACCACACCACTGGCGCTTTCTAGAAAGGTACTATTTATAAGCCTCGATGATTTTTACACCAACCTGTAACACTCCCAGGATACCTCACCTCCACCCCCATCAGCAGTCTCTGGCATTTACATACCTGCTTATCACCCTGTTGAGGAAGCCTAGGGTAGCATCACTCAGCTTGGGCATTCTGGCCCTGTCATCCCATTCTGAGCCATGGCATTAGAAGCAGTAGTGGACCTCTCAGATTTTCTTCTAGGGCTTTCTTTGCTTCATGATGAGTACATGGACCTAAGCATCCCCTGAGAGCTTGTTAGAAATACAGACTCACTAAATCAGAATGTGGATTTTAATCTGATTCCCAACTGACTCATTGATTCCTAAGCACATTTTTGGGCTAAAGCACAGAACCTGGTCTTCCAGAACCTCCTATGTTCTGGCCTGATGAACATAAGCAGACAAGAGAGGAGGGCTGAATGCCGTTTCCTCCTGAAGTTAGTTAGTGCTCAGCTGGCCAAAGGAGTCTTGTTCTTAGATTTGATCATCAATTGTTATAGAAGATGAGGATTGTAATTCATCCTCCTGGCTCTGCTAATGACAACCACGGGTACTGTGTTCAGTTCTGAATTCTTAGCACCTTCGCGATGCAGAGTTAACAGGTGACAGTAAGCAATTTTGAACAAATGACTATATAGCTATCTTCTGGATCCTTTGCCTTCAAGCCCTAAAATGATAACCTGACCAGGCTTATCAGGAAGGTAGATGGGCTCTCCTCTCCATTCTTAAAAGGTGTCCAAACTGTCCTCCTGATCCTAGGAGGCCTTCTCAGTGTAGGCAACATCTTGTTCCCAGGTTTCCCTGGGAACACTGATAGATACGTAAGTGCTGATTCCTGTTTAGGACCCCATGAAAGTTGTTTATGATGGTCTTCTTAAGGGAAGGTGATGCATAGACAAGGAGAAGTAGGAATAATATGAAGCAGGAACCTGGGCAATATGGATGGGGAAAGGGGCACAGATTCCAGACATCCTTACAAGATCAAATTGATAAAGCCCAGCAGTTGCCTGAATATGGGTGCCCTGTCCTCTATACCTGCCTACCCACAAGGTAAATTCACTAAACTCTGAAGCTTGACTCTGCAAGAAGGGTGACGCTGCCTTCCTTGAAGCCCTGCACTGGCAGAAGCTCTATACCTCTGTGACTCCAATAATAGTCATTGTTTCCATCTATTGAGCATTTGTCATATGACAGGTAGATATAGTGCCAGATACAAGTGGGTGACCTGTGTCCTCACCACACCAGGCATTATCTCTGATTAGCCACATTTTACATCGCAATTAAGCTTCCCAAGATCATGCAACTAGTGAGCCAAAGAGCTGAACCCACTTTCCTGACACCAAAATACATATACTTTCCACTGCACAGCTGGATTTAGGGGATGAGAATCTGTTCACCTATACGAGAGGCCCGGGAAGCAGGGCAGAGACTAAGATGCACCAAGCAGCAGCTCTGTGAGTGTACAGCAGGACAGATAGCTAGAAGGCAGACAGGAAGTGGGACAGGCAGGGCCAAGGGAAACGATCTTTTATTCTCTGAGCACAGGAGGCATTTGGAGAGTTGCTTCTTCCTTGTGAAGCACACATGTCAGCACATACGTTGTACACTCACAAGTGGGTCCCACAAAAGACTGTGTTGGCCTGGGGGCCTGGTGACCTCAGGAAGGAACTGAACACCCAGTAATTGCAGGTCCTGGTGGTTTTGGTGGTGAGGACAAAACACCTCCATAGATGTGGAGTCTCAAGGAACTCAGGGCAGAATGTTAGAGGCAGCAGGAGCACTGACTTCTGCTTCCACTGCTCCTCTTAGACACTGTCTTCTCCTCTCCAAGTCCTCTGAGTCTCAGAGACTCCCGCAGCTCAGCACCGTGGCTGCAGAAAACTCTCACCTCTTCTCTCCCCACCTGGCTTCTGGGAGAATGGTTGCTTACGGAAGAAACCCCAGTCCACTTGGGCCAGAAGTCAGGCCCCATGGGGCTCCCAGTCTTTTGAGGTTGGTGGGCCCTAGGCTCCCCTGCCGTCTAGAGGTAGAGGGGGGCTAAAAGAGCCATTTGGGACCCCAAGCTTCTCTGAGCAGATCTTTGGCAAGTGGGAGAGTTATTCCTAACTCAGGTTTGGCAGGAGGAAGAGAGCAATTATACCAATTAAGCTCTGGAATAAAATCAACATCTCTTCTCTTTCTCCCACGTGGGCCTGGGCCCCTCGAGTGCTTTTTGATTATAATTCTTACCTGCGGTAATAAGGCAGATTAGCAGGGCACTCGTAGGCTAGTTTGGGCTTGTCAGGACTCTGGGGAAACAGCTTAACCTCTCTAGAGCTGAACAGTTCTTCATGCTCCCCCAGCCCAGGACTGAGGCCGAGACAGGAGGGGACAGAGTGAGTGTGGGGATATTTCTCTCTACAGCCCAAGGGGTAGGCAGTATGAAAGTCATCTGGCCTTAGGATGTCCAAAGGAGCTGGCAACACAGGAGTTCCACTTGACTAAAGTGGGAGGAGGACCTAACAGGGAACAAGCTGTAAAGGAAGAGCTATAAATTAGGCAGCAAGAAATTACCCACTGACAGTGACCCAGAGGGGCAATAGTGTAAACTCACAATCACATCCTAGAAATGCACAAAGGGGAGTGGCAGGGATGTGACTGTAACTCAGGACATCTTTCCATCCTACAAGCCCGGCTTCCCTGTAGTGATGGAGGACAAGGAGATACAACTGCAGGGAAAACATTTCCATTTGGAAACCAGTGGTTCTTGCAGCTCACAAAGGATTAGGTGGATCTAATATAAACTTTCTGTAATCCGTCCTACGTCCTGCCAGATTTTAGCCAAATGCAAAACATAAGGGACACGTTTGGGGCTCATCATGTACCACTAATCATGC